GACTCTGGTTCTCGTGTTCTGCAGAAGAACCTGTTCTATGAGGACAGGCACCAGCTGCCGGCTCCCAAGTGGACCGAGCTGGCCAATCTGATTAACAGCTGCATGGACTACGAGCCCTCCCACCGGCCGTCCTTCAGGGCGATTATCAGAGACCTCAACAGCCTCTTCACGCCCGGTAGGAGGAGAAAGGCAGCGCGCAGGCCACGAGGAGACGCGACGCACCTGCACGCTGCATCGCAGTGTTTGATCACGCTGTTTTTCTACCACCGTCGCAGACTACGAGCTGCTGGTGGAGAGCGACATGGTGCCCAACAGGACAAGAGGCGTCGGGTTCCCGTGGGCCACGGAGAGCCAGGAGCCCGCCCAGTTTGAGGAGAGGCACCTCATCTTTCTCAAGCTGCTGGGCAAAGTGAGACACGCGGACATGAGGATTTGGTTTAAGCAAAGACTGTTTGCTTTCACCTCCTTCACAGTATTCAGACATTGTCTTTAAGTGTGCATGTTTTTAATAACTAATTTGCTTGATATTTCTTCATTATATCGCCTTTAAGACATTTAAATACTAATATCTGTTTAGCATCTGACCAGAAGTGTAACCAAAATATTATACCAAAGTATAAAATTTCATTAAAAATAAAAAAAATAAAATGCAAAGCATATATAATATACAGTGGATACGTATAAATACATATATACATTCTGTATAAACAGTAAATATATAAACATTTAAGGTTAATGGAGCAATGCAGATATAATGAGAATTAGGAAAAGCTCATTTGATGCAGGCTCAAAACCAAGATGTCTCTAATGGGCTCCCCTCTGACCCCACATTGCAGGGGAACTTTGGCAGCGTGGAGATGTGCAGGTACGACCCCCTGCAGGACAGCACGGGGGAGGTGGTGGCCGTGAAGAAACTGCAGCAAAGCACCGCCGAGCACCTCCGGGAATTTGAGCGGGAGATCGAGATCCTCAAATCCCTCCAGCACGAAAACATTGTTAAATACAAAGGCGTTTGCTACAGTGCAGGTACAGACGACACGTGATTAAGTGTGCTTTTGCTCAGATGATAAACGGAAAAAGAAGAAAACATCACATTTTCGAAGAGAGAGAAGCAAATTGATAAAATATTTAAAATATGCCTTGTTTTGGCATAAAGCATCATTTTCTTTGCCTGATTAATCTCAATTCTTATGTTAGACCCAGGAATCGTTGACCAATGACCAGTGTTTTTCTTGCACTCTCCTGCAGATTTACCTGTGCTATTATCCTCTGGGCACATTGTATAAATACACAATGATGTCGTTATGGTTCCAACATTCGCCGCCTTGTGCGCCTGTGACCATAACCGTTAAACAAATGGATCTGGATTTTCTCCAGAGGCCTCATATTTCCTCTCTTAAGTATCACACTTAACTCTGTTTCTGCAGGTCGAAAGAACATGCGGCTGATCATGGAGTATCTCCCCTTCGGCAGCTTGAGAGATTATCTCGTCAAACACAAGGAGCGCTTTGATCTGAACAAACTGCTGCACTATGCGTCACAGATCTGCAAGGTAATGCAATGCAGTAGGTGCCGCTGACTCTAAGGACATTGTTTAACCCCCAGCTTTTCATACATACATAAAAATGCTACTTTTGTTCATATTTCTGGGTATTTCCTGTCTTGTAAACCATAGAAATGTTTTGTTTTTAAAAGTGGACGGACTGCATAAGGACGGATTTTATAGGCAGACAAATGACTGTGAGCCGTCGGCAATCACAGGAGGTCTTTTTTTTACAGCACTCGGCAAGTCGGCTGCACGTGAATAGATAATGTACGGAATAAGAGATCGACCCCCGAAAAATATCATTTTAAACCAGGCCTATAGAAATGGAGACAACCTGTTTGATAGTGTACAAAAACATGCTCGCCAAAGAGCAATATGATTATTAGGAGGTTGTCGGGCTGAATACGGTGGCTGGAGGTTATGATTAGAGGCGCATTTATCATGGCGGGGTATGTATTGTGGACCCGGCCTCTCATTAGGACATATTATACTTGCGGGCTCATATTGCAGAGCTCACACTGTGTAAGTGTGGCTGCGCAGCGGATGCCCGAGACGGGTGGGTACACATTCAAAAACACAAATTGAATCAACTTTACTTTAGAAAACAACAAAAGGTAAATTAAGCCAAGAAATCGAATGAAATGACTTTTTATTTGAAGAATTTATTTACCCCTTTGACTTTTCTTTTACACTTTTAAAGAAGACAAAATCAATGAATCAGTGACGTCACATTTCAGGGCATGGACTACCTCGCCACCAAGCGATACATCCACAGAGACCTGGCCACCAGGAACATTCTGGTGGAGAGCGAGACCAGGGTGAAGATCGGGGACTTTGGCCTGACCAAGGTGCTGCCGCAGGACAAGGAGTACTACACCGTCAGAGAGCCCGGGGAGAGCCCCATCTTTTGGTGAGGAAGACACGCGTGGCCGTGCGCTGCAGGATCAGTGTTAACTCTTTAAAGGCGCACGCATGCTTGTGTGTACGCTGACGCACTGTTTGTATCTGCCGTGGTGTTTTTCCAGGTATGCTCCGGAGTCGCTGACGGAGAGCAAGTTCTCTGTGGCGTCGGACGTTTGGAGCTTCGGCGTCGTCCTCTACGAACTCTTCACTTACACCGACAAGAACTGCAGCCCTCCTGCGGTGCTGCGCGCTATTTATTATTTTAGTTTGACAGTTTTTTTCTTATTCTACCCTTAATTGCTCTGTTGGCCTAATTAGGCTACAGCAACTGGCCAATATAATGACTTGGTAGTGTTTATTTAAATAAGTCCGTTGACGTATAGTGGAGCAAAGGACACAAAAACACTTGTTGTAATTGCTTTTGGGGTCATTTTTTACCAATTTGTTTTTGTGTTCCAGGTGTTTATGGACAAGATAGGGAATGAGAAGCAAGGCCAGATGATCGTCTACCATCTGATAGACCTGTTGAAACAGGGATATAGGCTGCCAGCTCCTGATGATTGTCCAAAGGAGGTCAGTAACTTTTTACAAGCCATTTAAAATAAAAACTGCAAAACACGTTTTCATTATTTAAATAGAAAGAAAACAACAATTGTAATTGAAATGAACTTCATTTGTTAGTTAATGCTCACGTGTCCTTCAGGTTCTCAGGATCATGGCAGAGTGTTGGAGCAGTGAACCGGGACTACGTCCTTCTTTCAAGACATTATTCCACAGCGTGGACACCGTACGAGACAGCAAGGACAGATGAGCCACGTTGACCCTTTGACCTTTGACCTTTGGCTGTTGACTGCTGGGAGTCTGTCCTCAAAGATCCGCTATGTCCGGGTCTCCAGCAGCGATGCACTCACCAGTCAAGACATATTGTTGTTGTCTTCGGCTCCGTGTGCCTGTCAGACTTTCATTTGTATTCAAATAAGGATGATTAAGAGTGACATCCACCTGGCAGGATACACATTATTTGATTATTTGTACACTACCTCTTGACTCAAGGGACCAAAGGGCCAGATGTCTCTGAGAACATTGTCGTCAACATTATTGTGAGATTTCTTTCCCATTTTTTTCTCTTGTGTATTTTGTACAAACCGAATGTGACGAGTGAAAGAAATGTGATTCTGTGATTCCAAAGAGCAGCATTTCATCAGTTAATGCTCGGCCCTTTGATTTTGTACTTTTGTATATTAAACAAAAGGAGCCGGCGGATTCTTTGCGGCCATCGGGCCGCACACCCGCACCTCACTGCTCGTGCTGCGGCACCTTTAGGGACTTGTTGAGCCGAGCCGGGTTCCTCCAGCCGACACCCGGGCGGGACTTCTGCTCGATAGTTCCACAGACAGCCGTGGCACATCGAGGAGGAATGTGTGGAGGACACATCGGGGACCGGACTTGAAACAAGTATACGGTTATTTGTCGATATTAATTATGGAGATAGCAATAACTGCTCCGGAATCTTTGTTAAAAAGCTGTTTGTCATATCATTGATTCATTCAGTGTAATTCTTGTTTTTGATAAAATTGATGTTTGTCTCGGTGGAGAAAATAATAATGAAGGGAGTTTTTCTGCGGTAGCTTGTTGTGGCAACTTTAGTTCATATCTTTGCTTCTCGACCGGCTTGTGTAAATGTTGGTGTGCGTGTGTGCTATGATGTGCATTAAATGGATGGATACTAAGTAAGTGTCCTTGTAAAAAGAAAATCTGTGACCAAAATGCTCTTCAAGCTCCAAAACATGTTATGTTAAACCAATAATGTGATATATTTATGTATATTGCTGTGTACGACCAAATATGATTATTTTGTATTATTTTTTATCCAAAGATTTTCAGAAAAAACGATTAAGCCCGTGATTTGTTCTATTTATTTTAAGTCAGTATGTATGCCCAGTTCTGTCATCTCATGCAAAATGCAGCTACCTTTAATACACATGTGTGTACAGATGTGAAAATAAAGTATAAGCATAAAATGGATATTTAGTTTGAGTGTGTATACGTTTATTAAACCAAACAAATTGCAACATTATGGATTTGAAGGTTGTACTCAACATCTAAATGTGTATTCAGAAATATTATATTGTATCTCTAATCAAACAGCTTACAGGTATTTCAAAGGTTGTGGGCCTATTATACAGGAAGGATGATTTAAAGATGAAAGATGAGGACGGGTTTAGATCAAGGGGATACATTTATTTATTTGTTTGTTTTATGTGCATTATTAGGAGCTAATAATCCTGCTCTTGCAGTAGTGCCCTCGGGGTGTTAACAGAAAATGATCAGGCAGCCGTAATGTCTCTGCCACAAGTCCACAGCAGCCTAAATGACATTAGGTGTAATCTTGGCTGGAGTTTAATGCGGCATAAAAACGAGCGTGGAAGACAACATTTCATATCAACAGTATTTCAAATTTATTTCCAATGACGCTGAGGGAGTGAAACACACGGGACATGAAATAATTTTTGAAAACAAAATCACCTTTACATCCCTTTACAAATCAAAGTAAAGGGAACATTTTAAATTGTAAACTCTCCTTCTACGTCCCTCCACACATGTCCATCACACCGTCTTCATGCCCCCCCCATCCCCCTTAGCACAAGCGTCCGATATCGTTCTTGGTGCAGCCTTGGTTGCAGCACTTTCCCGCCACACCCAGAGAAAAGTTCCTCTTCTGCTTGCTGGTGATGCCGCCGCCGTCGGCTGCCGCCGCCGCCCAGTTCCCGTCCCTCTGGCCTAAAACCGCGGTCTGCTGAAGGGCCAAGTCAGTGAGCGACGGCGTGTCCCCCGGGGCCCCGTAAAGAGCCAGGAGGTCTGCCAGGGAGAGGGAGCGGCCCTTTTGGGGAGGGGAAAGGTCGTCGGCCGCAAACTCAGCGCCCGATTGCCAGGTGTGCTGGTTGTCCTCCACTGTAACGTCACTGAGGGAACTCCACTGGAAGGGATCTGGAGAAACAGGAGGGACGCGACAGGATTTAACGGGGGGCGACGATAAAGATTACAACAAAGTATTTGTCGCATAATATTCAATGACATTCTTACTCGCTAAAAGAGTTTGTGGGAATATCAATGAGCGGCAGCTGACTGCGATCGTGTGGCTGCAATAAAGGCAAAAACCTACAGTCCGTCCCCTGGGACCCTTTTGTCTTCCCTTCAATCATCCTCGGCCTCAATGAGAAAAAGATTTCTCAACCTGTAATCAGAGTCCGGAGTTTAAAGACCTTCTTTCAACGTGTAGGAAGAAGTCTTTTTTTTTATTTTTTTTTACAAGAAGTCTTTTTTAAATAAACTAATTTTGCACAAATGAAGCGATTAGCGAAAATAAAAAGCCAGTGTTCCTGAACTCACCTCTGCCCCCCCCCGTGGATCGTCTCCACCGGGAGCCGCCGCAGGTGAAAATGACCGCTCTGATGAACTCTCTGCCGCACAGCTTCACCCCGTAGTCCCTCGGCATCATCAGCCGGCTCATCAGGTCCGTCTTCATGCAGCTGCATATGCCGCCGACGCTCACCACGGCCACGGCCAGAGTCAACCGCCACAGCATCTTTCACTTGGGGACGAGCAGAGCCGAGTCGGGTCGGGTCGAGGTCCACCTCGGATCTGAGACGGGCGTTTCAAGTCCGGTCCACTTCTTCCTCGTAGTTGTTGTTTGTCCTTCTGTTGGAGCCCGGAGTTGCCAAAGGTGCTTCCTGTGTGTCGGTCTCGTGCTGCAGAGGCTCGGCTTTCCTCTTTTTGTTCCCTGTATGAAACCTCGTCACTGGTTCACTTCTCAACCTGTGCATTCGACCCTAAGCCCTCTCCCTCTCTATCCCCTCCCTCCTTCCCCCTACCTCCCCCTCCCTCGCCCTCCCTCTCACGCACGTCACTTAGATTGATGACAATGACGTACGTGCAGTTATTTCTTTATTGTAATACTACCTTTATTTCAATGCTGATTTGAGGACAAACGATATGAAGGCATGTGTGACGTCTTGCACACGTCCCCTGTGACGTCTTGCACACGTCACTGGGGGGAAAAAAGTACTCCAGGTTTTAATGCAATATCTTTGTCAAAAAAATAAAAGTTAGTGGTTTTCTAAATGTTCATTGGATGTCAAAAAAAGATGGTTGTCGACGAGTGTTGGCAATATTTATTTTGTCCAAATATCATTTCCATGATGTTGAACACGAGTCAAAATGATAAACAATGCATAAATATAATATTTTACATAATGAGTAAGAAGGTGCACCAATGCTTAAGCCATGAAGCTCCTGAGCGAGAATCAACGCTTTACGAAACGATGACCGAAAGCTTCAGCGACAGTTTTGGAGTAACAACAATCTTCCGCTCTCATGACAAATGTCTGCAGTGTTTAATACTTTTCATATTAACAATTTCATCGCTCTGTAGCCACTTTTGAGTACAAGTTACCAGGTGGCAAGAAAATATACACAACAACAATTCAAGTGGTTCTGTTTCTCCCTGATGTGAAAGCAGGCAAATCGATCGAGCCTCGATCAGACTCTGGAGAGGTTGTGCTACTTCGACAGCGTTTTAAACCCTTTGTGCCCTCTGCTGGGCAGAATCTCAATGCGTCTTTCATTTTTCCCCGATCTGTTAACTGTTATCACACTGTGGAGGTTTACTGGCCTGTAGAGGTCAAACCAGCAGCGTGAGTACAGAACACGGCTCGTTGGCAAATGAGAGGTACTCAAAGGACACCGGCCGGGGCAGCTGGGTAAAATGCACCGTGGGAGGCGGCAGGTACAGCTCAAATTTTGGAAAACTGACAAGTATCAAATCCTTTAACACTAAGAAGCGGTTACACACCAGGGGTCTACTTTTGCTGCCGATTCATTCACATGTCGGTATATTTTATGCGATGAGTACTTTCATACTGAAGGCAGACAGGATGAAAAAGAATTATTGTTGTTATTAATAAAATATGGTATATTTCTGAATACTAACCGGTAAAATTATACCTTGTAGATAACTTGTAGATTAGATATGGTACGTAGTATATAATAAGTTTATGGTCTGGATTCGGGGCGCAGCTTTCATGATTTGTCACTATGCAATAATCTTTTTATAAAGGTTCAATTGATTTACTCAATGACTGAATACAGTGATGACAGCGTACTACTTACCAACTTAAATATTTAGTTTGACCTACATTTACCAACCAAATATATTCAATAATATTGAGACTTATTGAGAATATTTGACACATCCCGTGAAAATAAATTTGGGAAAAAAGACGGTTGGCTTCCGCGAGTTTTTTGAAAGCAAAAGCCGAGCGTGTGAACGCATCGACTGGACTTTTGCGACAACCAACACGTCAGTTCTCCAAGAAGGAGGCGAGGCTGCTTCTAGCGCGGCGGGCTTTCTCTATGCTTTCGAAAGTTGGAGTCCCGTGAGGAAGGTCCAGGCGGTCATGTTCAGACGTCATAACGCTCTCAGCCTCCCCTGAGTAGAACGGGGAAAGAAATAATAACAATAATACAATGTCTGATAGTGTGTGAAACCAACTATTTTCATTCTGTTTGTGTCATGCACTTATATTAAATAATTCTGGTAATTTATTACGTTTTCGCTAATTGACAGTTCTTATATATATATATATATACCCTATATATACCCTAACCGATATAATAAAGTCCGTTTTCTTTGCTTTGTGATGACGTTAATGATGAGACGGGTTCAGTCGTACCTCTCATGCGATGAATAAGTGTCCCGTAGGCGCTGTCCATCTGGAAAGCCAATATAAAGCTGAGAGGGATGATGGGAGCCAATAGGGACGGGTTCCTTCTTTTAAGGGCACTGAAAAAAAAAAAGAGATCAACTTTGTATTCCACACTGTAATTATGTGATAAAAGGAGAACATTTTAGCTACATAATTATATTAAATTACAGAAAATTGAAGCCCAGATTGGTATTGCAATACACTCAGTAATACAGAGGGCCATTATGTTGACGTTTTAAAATGTTTGCAATACTTAAATCATGGGAATATTTAATGATAAATTATGAAAATTGTCATATGTATCAAACCTACAACATTTGATTTACAGATATTTAAATGTCATGTTGCCGTGGCGACCACCTATAGGTATTTGTCAAAACTGTCACTGCCGCACAGTTAAACTTTGACTACGTTGGTGAACCCTTACAAAACGTCATACATGAGTAAAGGCTTGTGCACACCGTGAAGACGTACAGCTCTGATAGATCTTGTTGTTAACGGGTCTTTGGTTCTACGTGTTAGAAACAAGTCATCGTCTGTGGGGGACGCTCAACACCTTTGAGCTGACCTTTATGAGCCGTTGTGCACCAAACTCACCCTAATGTGAGTCCGACTGTAGTGACGGCGTAGAAAGACCCAAAGTATTTGAGAAATTCTCTGGACCAGGCGACCTGCATCGCCATCTGTCTCTCCCTCATCTGGTTCTGCATCAGGAGCTGGCGTTCCATCTGCACACACACACACACACACACACACAAAACACGTTATTCGTCATAATGCACCTTTAAAGTCAAATATGGCAGCTGCCTAGTGGCTTTCAAGGTTTCAGGTTGTAACATGAACTATGTTATAAGGAATACAGATACACAGTAGATATAATAGAAATAATACTTACAATATAGAGCCTGATATATTAACTCTGGGCAGATATCTATATATGAGCATTTAAGTTGGTCAGTTAAAAAATAAAATGCTGAATTCTGCAAATGCCAAACACGTTTGATACAATTTAGAAAATGTAGCTCAATTACATACTTGGCTCAGCAAAGCATTGACAACTTAATTTTTATTTCCACTTAGCAGACTATTACTGATGACTCAAAGGTCAAAAGGAAGACATTCCGTGGGTGGACGACCATATGTCTCTGTCCGTCCGCCACCTCTCCCTGTGTTATATGAGCTGATATGAGTTCAACATCTGTGAACAGCAAAGGCATTTTTAACCAAACAGTACAAACAGTTAGTGGTTGTCATTATGGGCCAAAACATTTTCAATGAATCTCCCCCCAGAAAATAAAATAATTGTCAGTATAATTGACTGAAAATGAGAATTAGTTTGAGCCCTACATGTTGGATATTGTTAAACAGCCATCATAAGCTGAAAACCCCAAACAGAACTTGTGTGCACATCCGAGAAGTTGTCATGTACATTTGACTGACTTTGTAGTGAAACTTGGCAAAAACTTTGGAGTACGTTACTGTAATGTACAAGCTCACGACCACAGCTTCTCCAGGAAGAAGGAGGCTACAGAGCGGCTGTAACACTCATCTGTGTAGAGTGATGGGAAATTACAATGACGTGTGACGAGTTCCTGGCGGCACAGTTCGAAAAACTCGTGTAAAGTCATGGCTTTTCTCATACGAGTCACAAAAACAGGAAGGAAACAAGTCGTACTGGATGTCTCGAGTACCTGGAAAGTACCTCACTCCCGACGATTACGTGTCATTCAGCCGGCGCTTTTATCCAAAGCGAATCTCATTTAACCAGAACCCACACAGTGGGAGCAGTTAGTCTCCTGCTTCTAAGTTCATTTTATTTTAATGGAGACTAAAGTCGCTCATGAAACGACCTCCCTCAGAAATTGGCCTGTGAATACAATGGTGTTATTAGTGATGCCGCCCCCCCCCCCACCTAACACTGCTCTAGTATCAGAGCACCAAGCAGCCGGTGCTCCTTCATGGCTGCATCCCTCCATTGCAGACGTGTACACACATGCCGCTCACATCCAAGTGACCCGATATCTGGCATTATGCATAGATCTTGGATCATTTTAAGGGCAATAATATAATATATATATATGACCTACAATTGAACTTAAATCCAGAACTATTACGTAAAAGAAAAAGCAATGGGATACAAAATCCGACTGTGGACGTTCACGACGGCCTTTGTTGCTTGTTGAGACACATTTTGATTGAAACCAAATAAGTGTTGGCAGTCCCGGAGCAACACAGGGTTCATGTTTATGCTTTAGAAATACGATGAGCAATACCGTGGATTTGACGGCTAGCTTGGGAAAGCAGGGGGGGAGACAGCGACAGGAAAGAGCAGAGAAGAAAAGAAGTGAAAGAAAGAAACGAGCCGAAATGAGTTCACTCGGAGGGTGACGAGGTAAGAGCTGAAACCCAAGAGGGAAATGCACTGACATTTAGTCAATTCTGCAGCACGAGCATTCAAGGAGCGGAACGAATACCTGGAAAAGTGATACACAGGATGAGCACAGTCTGTGTACCGAAAGAAGTGGAAGTCAAGAAGAAGAACAGTGAGGGAAGAAACAAATTGCTCGGCTCTCGGCCGCCATGGTGATGCAAACCGGGTGAAGTGAAAGATGCTCCAGTTTGACGGCGCCTACGCTTGGCAGTGTACTTGTAATATAATATTTGCGACTGAGAAGCCGTGTACTTTATCAATGCATGTGTGAATATGTAAACAGAAGTAAAACCTGATTCAAAATGAAGGATCAGCAAAAAGCTCCATAAGCTTCACTCAAGATGTTAAATATATCTTAAATAAAAGCACTGGGCCTTTATCCTTACAAAGAATTGTATCATAGCACTTCTAATATAGTATTTGCTTTAATACATTGCAATTAACCTGCGTTTTACTGTACAACTTTCCTTATTTATTTTCCTTTTCATGCATCTACGAAAAAGAAATCTGAAGAGAAAAACAGCTTTTTGTTCAGTATTGTTGTTGCAGGATCTAGAAAGTGAGGATTGCAGCGGTCAAACACAAAATAAAAACCAATCAAAGGCCTGGTAAGAAGCCCTTACCTCACCCCTGCTTCACGCTGAAACCTCCTCAAGTCCAGTGACTCTATGAGGAGCTGAACCCTATCATTAGCAGCCAAGACCCCAATTAAATAGAAAATGAACGAAAGCATCGCCAAGCAGCCATTTAAAACCCGTATCCACAAAATGTTCAAGTGGTGTTAAAGAGACACTGTGATTCGAACACAAAGCCCAATGACTTTGACTTGAGAATCCGCGAGAAAAAGAGCGTAGAAAGGAACAATTAGCTCTGACCGATGAGACTGGGAAAAAAAACTGGAAAGCAATCATCTTTGACGTGTTAATGCGCGGGGAGGCGACGGCGTTGCTGCACAGATGTTCTGACATTGCCGGGCTCAATCTCATCCTCATTCATTTGGATGATGGAAAGACGCAAATGCCTTACCAAAGACAGTGAGATTTGACCATTAGCGATGCTGAGGATTTTTGTTTTGACTGTGTGTTTTGTTCAGTCAAATTCTGGGAAGGTTCTATGACACAAAATTGCCGAAAAACTGGAACTGTCTTGTTTATAGGTATTCAAAAGTAAAGAATGAATGCATTGTTAACACAACACTGCATGTGGTAAATATGCATAGACATTGTGTATCTAATATTTACCTGTGAGTCATGGTCACAACCCAAATTAGGGCTCTCTGAAACTCAATTTCTAAACCGTTAAATAATAATAATAATAATAATAACAATAGTCATCCACTACACAACCAACATTTTGGGGGCAAGTTGGATAATGTCATTGGTGTTATGACAGTCACACATCCCACCTGCTGCTCGGCAGCTTGCAGGCATGAATAAATCACACAGATTGGACCCCCCAAAAAAACAACACTTTGCTTTGTTTAAATGAAATAATATGCAATAAAATATGTGGTCTCTAAATGAAAATGCTGAGATTCTAGCTGAGGTGTTTATCGCTGGTTTATCGCTGGCTTTCTTACTCTTTCTTTCTCTTTCTTATTGTGATTCAAATAAAAAATACAGAGCACCAGGCTGACGACATATGGGACGGATCCACGTGAAGGTCAGATTGATGGCTGCTTTCTTTAAAAATAACTAAAACTGTTAAATACCTAGTTCATGTCTGCACAGGTGACAGATTACGCTGAAATATCGCACAGCCCCGTATTTTCTGTACAGTAATGTAATTACATTAGAATGATTATTTTCATTTTCATGTTTGCCGAGTATTCCTGGAATATGCACAATATATGCACAGCATCAATGGGGTTTCTGTCTTAGTGCCAGATTCTTACTTTTATTTCTTTATTTTTTTAACTAACCCACAGCCTCATATGTTATTTGATGGTATTCCTATTGCATGTTGTCTTTTTGTCCATTGTCGTACAGTCTGCTGTTACGCACCAACCGCCAAGTCAAATTCCTTGTATGTCTGACATATTTTGGTAATAAAGGTTTCCTGATTCCTGAAACCCAGTCAAGGCGGGCTGCACAGTATTTCGTGGTACTACACTACGGTAGTGGCGAATAAGAACTGACTGATGTACATCAGCCAACTTCCTTTAAAATCTCATTTACAAGCAACTCAACCTCTGTTGAATTTCAGATGGCATTTAAAAGGAAATGGTGCATAGTTACATAATAATTCCAATTCAGGTAGATAGTAGATGACCTTGAAGTGTCACTCAGGGATAATTACGACATTCTGACGTAGCATAGCAAGTTAAAGCCTGTCAAAATGTAATACATGAGCCAACTTGCTTTAAAATCTCATTCACAAGCCAACTGTGATTCCGATGTAGTGAGTTAAAGCCTGTCAAAATGTCATCCCTGAGTCATACTTTTATGTGGTATACTATCAACCTGAAGTGGAATTACTATGTAAGTATCAATTATTTCCTTTTAAATGGCGTCAGAAATTCAACAGAAGTTGGCTCATGATGAGATTTTGAAGGAAGTTGGCTCTTGTTTTAGATTTTGAAGGGCTTCAATTTTGAAATGCTACATCAAAATGTAGGGGTGTAATGATTAATTTTAACAACGATTCGATTCGAACCGCGATTCATAGTTGCCGATTCGAGTCATGGACAATCTGGGTTAATTTAGAACGATTCGATTCGATTCAGTGACTTGAAATCGATTCAGTAACTTTACTGGACAGTGCAGGCAAAGTTCCTGAGATCCCTGTTGTTTCTTGTAAGGAAATCAGGTTTAAATTAATTATGGATATCATAAACAAGCAAACAACAATTAATGGCAAATGTATTGACCTTTTATTTGAATCAAGTGCCATTTTCAATGTAAACATTACACACGATAAGTTGGTTTGTAAATGTCTCGCTCGCAGTCGTCTCCTCCACGCTGTGTTTTGTTGTTGTTCAGAGTTTCGCGCGGCTGCCCCTGCGTACTGATGATGTCACAGACAGGCAGACTGAATCGAGTAACGTTTAACGTGCAGTTTCCGAGTATCGATACAATCGATTATGTATTTCAATCGATTTGTAATCGATACATGTCGTCCGGAATGTCGATTTGCGGAGCACAGATCGATTCAGTTGGATCGCAGAAATATAAATCGATTAATCGATTCAGTGAATGAATCGTTACACCCCTATCAAAATGTCATTATTATCACTGAGTGACGCTTTGAAGTTGTGTACTAACAACCTGAAGTGGGGTTATTATGTAACTATGCACCACTTCCTTACAAATCAAATCTGAAATTCAACAGAAGTTGGCTATATATTACAATAAGTAATTACAGTAATACATGAGTAATTACAGTAGTAATTGAAATTACATTTTTCCTTCAATACTTTGCATGCAGTAATTATTATATTGGGTTTAAAGTTCATCATTTATAGACTGTAGATCCAATACATCGTTTTTTCCCCACAGTTTTTTAATGTATTATGACATTTCTATACGATTTACAGACTTGAAGCGGATGCTGTCGATATTATGCATCTTTTGTGTGTCGCAAATTCACACCAGCAGCTTGCAGACACTTTGGCCCGCGCATAATACACGAGATACAATCCAAGCTGCAGAACACGTTTCTCCATCTTCCATCTGGGTGCAGCTTCACTCACCTGCAGCCGTGAAGTGTGGAGCATGAATTCTTGTTGCTTTTTAAAGTTCGCGTCCATGGATTTAGACAGTAGAAACCCCATGGCGCTGTTGTCGTAGACCTAACGACACGGGGAAAGAAGCTATTAACGTTCAGTCGAAATTAACTACACTACATTACACCTCTACTATTTGGAAGTGACGTTACAACGTCCCCACTTGAGTGACACTTCGACGTCGAACGTTAAAGGCGGTGTCGGTGTTTATAATGCTGGAGAGCAGCGTCAGTAATGGCACCGTGTAGCGCCCCGGGGTGCTGCCAACACGCAGGGTCAACTAACGTTACACGTTAACTTTCTGTCGGTTCAATTAATTAGCTGACGGTGTGTGTGCTAACGTGACGTGGAACATACGAGTAGCTGCTTATTCTCCGCCCTCGGTTATCAACTCCAAGGGGTCGCAGGTCGGAAGTGAAAAGCTTTAACGTCGCATACCTGATGTGTTTTGAAAGCGGTGGGCTAAGCGGAGTAGTGACAACCGTCATCAAAGTAGCTCTGACGTTTTTTTTTCAAGGGCATGCGTAGTGCGTCACAACCAACTTCCGGTTTACTGTGCGGCCAGTCCTGTAAAACGGAAATGATGTAGATCCGATTAAACTTTCAAAATAAAATAATACCACATTCACACCCGAGTGATGTTTTCTGGACGTCAAAACGAATATTACAGTATACAACAATGACGCTGTACTCTATAAAGTCTGTAAGATCACTTAGAAAATTAATATTTTCTGTTAAAACCAATCTTAGATTCAAAGAAAGTATTTCCAACCAATGTCTTAACACCATTTGTTGTGAAAAAGTGAAACAGTTTGTTTGAGAAATGAATATTTCAGTCAACCCAATGCCGGTGATCGACAGTGTCCATTTGCAGGTGACACTGCGTGGTTCCAGTTCCATGAGAAATGGCTCCCCCTGTTGGTGTTTGTGGGTTAAAGGCCTTCATTAATTATTTCACTATGAGGCTTGTAATTCATTTAAAATAATATGTCCAGAAAAATGAAGGATTTTAACAAATATGCTGAATTTAGGGTCTGGATTACAACCAGCCCTGGGCTGGATACCACATGGTCATTGAATATCATACATTTTCTCTTACCTCAACTTAAATGATACTATTTAGTGCATATACAGATATAGTACATTGATAGATGGGTGGATAAAATGTTAGACCTTGAGTCTAACATTAACGCTTAAAAAGCGGAAGGATACTACTGTAATGTTATGGGAGAGTTAACATCCCACGCTGCTGTTGTTTTGTTCGGACATGAAATCTGCCTCGGTGAACCAGATCAAGCCACGCTATCTTTTCGTCAACGCATGAAAACAGTGTTGGACTCTTGGCTAACTTTCCTTTACATGGAAAAATAATACCTGATATTCCACCTCTTTAGGTTAACAACCAACCACAAAATAAAATAGTTGTCGGTTATGTCTTTTTCAATTTTGAACACAATCATTCTCAAATGAAGGTAAGATTTCAAGAGCAATGCTCAAAGCGTGTAAACTCAACATTTAAATTGAACTAACAAAAGTAAACAAATAACAAGCATTGAACAACACCAACCTGACTTAGGCCCATCATACTCAGGGCGCTCAGGGAAAATAAGGTGTTTAAGCAAGATCTGTATCAATGACAATCTGTTTCAACGTAGGTTGTAAAATCCATAGCAAGGTATGATTTCCCAGAACTTTCCGAAAGGAAGAAACGGTGGCAAAAAAGAAACCCTTGTGAAAAAAACATGATGATAAGATCGGCTAATTATTTTAATTTCTGTCCAACAAAACATAAAGTGCGTGCCAACACATACACGTGGAAGCTGGTCAGTAAATTGATGGAAAGCCCATGAAATATTTCTACCCGCTTGTAACCTGAACCAACATGGTATAGGTGAAGCGGTTGGTTTCATCCTCATCTGGGAATTCCACCTAACGTAAGGATGTATGAGTGCTAAACGGCAACCCGATACCTACTTTTCAAACAATCTGTAAAACAACAGAAAATCCCAGTTTACCTGCCGGTAGCCAAGAAGTGGTGGTGGTGTGATATGATCACGGATGTAAAGAAACTCCTGAGCCCTATGTTGTGGAACGTTATGTTATTGTATATTAATATTAATCTGATAGGTTGTGTTATGCTGCATAATGACTATGTTATCTTTTTATACCCTAAATTCATTTGAATGATTTTACGTTGGACTTTAAGTAACATTTTACATTTTTTACTTGTAACATTTCATGCAATACATGGAAATAAAACAGATCTAAATACCACCACACATTTTGCCAAAGTTGATGCAGTTGCATTGAATTCTCAGCCTCACACCATCCCGACGTCAACTAATCAGAATCAGGACCAGAAGTCTTTTATTGCCACGTATGTCACACATACAGGAATGTGACAAATTCCTGTATGTGTGTGTGTACATTTTTTAAATCTTATTTTCATTGTGATGAAAATACGATTAAAAAATGTACAGATAAGTACGTTAAAACACGCGTTTCCACCGTGAAAACACATATGAACACTGAACCGTTTTGTGTGTGTTGATGTTTTGTGTAGGTGGAAATGATTAAACCTCGTATTGCTTATTGATTTGGTTTGTGTACCGCGTGCAGTGCACGAGACCATGAGAGGAAACTGATCAATGAGAACAGAGACAGAAACAGAGACGGGGGGGAAACAACAAATGATTCACCCTGTCCGATTTACCGATTGTCGCTTGCTTTGATTAAGAAAAGTCCTAACCATAAAGTAACATATCACCGATGCGCAACAACTGCAACATATCTGCCAACAACTGAGAGTTTACCGTCAGTTAGAGCAGTTTTATGACTTATTAGGTTCAGCCATATACGTTTTCCCCTTACAGTAAATTCACTGGTCCACTTCCTCGTCTGTTTCCTTGAGCTGGTATTCGGTTAAACTCACGCGAGGATACTTGTTAATTAGTCGAAGTCATTGAACATGTTTTTTTTTAAACCACATTCGAAGTCATTTCCTCCTTCCAGTAATGGAACTCGAGGAGCACGTGGTGACCCGGCGGTGTTTGCCAGGACTTCTGTGTCAGTGAAAGCGTCGTCTCGTGGGGGCGGTGATCATAACGTGGAGAAGTGGCGAAGCTCAAAACACGGCCGACCTCAGATCAGCCCGAGAGAGCAGGAGAGACGCGCCGCGGGGAACAAGCCGCTTGAAAACCAACAGGTAGGAGGACACGGTTTATCGGTAGGCTACTTTTAAACTTGATATTTATAATACGGATAACACTACAACAACTTAAGCTAATCAGAATCATTATTTGTTTAAATTAAATTCTCATTATTATTATTACTATTATGGTTGGAGTTGTTATTAATTGGATGAATGTGGATATTTTTTGATCATTAACACAGTATTATCATTCGCTGAGATGACTTATCTTTTTTTATTTTTGATTAGCATTCATCTTTTTTTTCATAAATATTAAGTTGTCATGTACCACTTCTGTATGAATCCAGCTTTGTGGCCTCTCAAGTCATCTCAATCATCTCAATCATAGTAAATATTTCACAACAAGCTTGTCGAAATAAGAGCACGTGTAGGTTATTAGGTTAAGTATACTTAAACATAACTTAATCATGTTCATGTAACACACCTCTGTAGTTAATATTTTACACTAAAACAGGTGTTATCAAAATTGCCAGATATCACTTGTTTACAAAGAGAAATACAGCTTTGTGCGTGTTTGTTTGTTTGTGTGAGTGCTGACAAAGCTCCCAAAGGGGTTTCTTCACTAAGAACAAACTAAACAAACAGAGCTGAATCAAGCTGATATACGAAATAAGATATATTTCTCAACGACATGTGAAATGTTTTTAGTATGAAGTAAACTAGATTAAACTAGAACTAAACTAGTTGGGCATTTGGAATTTACATTGGGCTTTTTTCAGGAAAATGACTCACGTTTCTCAGACATTGCGAAAAAGAGTTCAAATCTTAACCCCTCCCTTTCCATTTCTGTCTTATAGATCTCGATGGACTGGTCCCTAATTGTATTTTTACAAGTGATGTTTCAGCCATCTCTCTCAGGTGTGTAGTAAAAATCTCTTATTTAGTGTAAAGTGTCCAGTAGTGTAAGAATTCCTGAATAATCAAGGGAACAAATTGCATCTGCATTAAACATTTCTATTTTCATACGACACTCTATGTGCAATAACTACAATCATCTAGTGAGAGTCATACGATGTTGATTAATGGTTCACCCTGACATTAATTTGTCTGGTTTTCCCGCAGTGTTGTTCACTGTTTGGGCCGGGAAAAGCACATACGAGGCGCAGTTTGGAGGAGATGTCGTGATGAGCTGCAGGTTTAAGCCTAAACCGTCGAATCCTCAGGCTGACCTGAAGGTGACCTGGAACTGGATCAGCTCCACCTCGGTTCGAGAAGTGTACCGTATGGACAACGGGGAGGAGGTCAGTGCGTCCCGAGATCCGGACTATCGGGGCAGAGTGAAGCTTTTCACTGAGGAGCTGAAGGAAGGCGTGGCCAAGTTGCAGGTCAGTGATGAAGACGATGGTTTGTCTCTTTAATCTAACAGATTTTGGTTTATTTGAACCTCAGAGCTGTTTGGGGCATATTGTGGAATGTGGCTAAAAGCACATCTAAGGACTCTTCTTCTGTCCCCTTATAGGTCTCAAGGCTCCGGATCAATGACTCTGGGACCTACCAGTGTTCGGTGCAGACAGAACAAGGAGCTGATTACAAAGCGATAACTTTGTCCGTTGTAGGTTAGTACAGATTCTGCTAGCGCGCAATTGAGTAATCTCCTTTTTTAGACTAATGCTTTGGAGATTTCCTGGCAGATACAAAATGCGTAAAAATGAAAACGAAACCAAGACCAGTATTACTCAATTTGGTAATAAATGATCTTGGCTCATTTAAACTTCCCCACAGATCTTCCCCCTATCATACGAAATCACTTGAACGTAACATGTTGTATGACGGTATTGATGTATGTTTCCTATATGTTGTTTTCCTCAGCACCTTACAAAACTGTGGCTAAACGCATTCAAAAGACTGCAGATGAGGGATGGTTGCTGCTAACCTGCCAGTCTCAGGGATACCCCGAGTCCTCCGTCACGTGGCACAACGGACACCTGCAAAGACCCCCGGGACCCGACACCACCGCTGTATCAACCGAAGACCTGCTTTACACAGTCACCAGTCAGATACGCGTCCGATCCACAGACAAAAACAACTACACTTGTTCCTTTGCACAGGATGGGAATTCTGCAACGTTTCACATCCCAGGTACATTTTGATCCCCTTTAAGGCTTTTGTTTGTGGCGTGACAGATTTCCCCCGGAGAGAATATGCAAACACACTGGGTTTTATGTGTTGACCATTGCAACATCTGCAAGTTAAGCACGGCCATTGAACTTTAGTCCATCACTCCCTTCTCATGTCTACTCAGCTCTCGACTAGAGACAAAGTGATACGAGAAGCAAGCAAACAGATTAATATATTTAAGTACGTTACTTAAAAGTCTAGCATTTAATGCTTTTTTTCATACTATTACTCGACCAAATGACAGAGAAATATTATACTTTGCGTTCTATTTGAAAACTTTTGTACTTACTTTGGGGATTTAGAAATAAAGTTCTATATTATTATAGATATACCGTAAATACTCAGTAATCAGTTGACAAAACCATTTGCCCTCTTATCACTGCAACGGTTTCCTGTGTTCACATATTCTTTCTGATGGAAATACATCTGCTACCAAACTGAAGTTTATCGGCGGTCTACGACCACGAGACATTCTGTCTTGGGTGGGAATGTGTTGCTTCTTTGTGGGTGTTTGTGTAGGCTGCTTGTTTTTCTGCTAACAGTGTGTGTTTCCAAAAGAGCATTCGCTATTTCAAATGAAGTATGTTTGAACTTGACACCCTAAAAAATGATCAGGTTATTTCAATGGTAATTAAAGGAAAAAGGGCAAAAAATAAGTAAGCAGCACAGCTCATCAAAAAAAACATTACACAAGCATGAGTCGGTTGAGCCACATGTTTTTAGTCCTTCACCACTAAAGGGAAGTTTGAAATAGTTTGGTACCTGGTATGTGTGGTTATTTCCATTGCGGTCCAACATTTGAAAAGCATAACTAACTTAATGCCAACACGTGCCTGTGTTGTGTCTACATGTTGTGCTGCAAATCTTAACAGCAATCCTTTTTCACCCTCTCCACAGATGAGATTCCTGTTCTTCATGTCCAAAAGGATGCTCTCATCGTTGTGTTGAGCATCGGACTGATAATGGTTGTCATCATCATCGCAGTGCTCGTGTACAGACGACGAAAAGGTAACCTGCCATTCAATTCCTTATGTGCACGACATATTACAGATCCCCAGCTGATTCGGGGTGTTACAACATGTAGGTGTAGATTGGAGACACATTTTTTATTATTTATCATTCCCTTATTGCAGGTAGACCTTATTTAAGGTACACCCTTTTTAAAAAATATTTTTTTAACTTTATAGTCCTGAATCTCAAACAACTTAGAGTCCTGAAGAATCCATTATTCAGCCCACAATGTGCATCCTTCCTGCGTCCTTCCTGCGTCCTTCTGGTGTCAGCACTGTTGTAGTCTGACTGTGTTAATTTTTTGTTTTTGTCAAATGAGCAGGGAAACAGCTGTGTCATTTTAGTTGGAAGTCTCTCAGGCTGCAGAAGGTGATACGTGGTCGAGTTATTTTTGCCACTGAAATGAGGAAGTATTTGAGAAACAGTATGTCTTTTAGATTTGAGATAGGTCACCTCAATGTGTGTCATTTGACGGGGACAGCATGTGACTCCATGCTTTTAACATGTAAGCATGACACAGCTTTTTGTGTCATCACAAGTTTGGAAACACCCATGCGGGGATTGTAAGTGTGACAGGGGAATTTGAGATTGGTTTGTGCGTCTAGTTTTTTTCGGCACAGCGCGTGTGTTGTTTGTACAATCCACAAAACAAACACGTACATTATTTCAATGAATGTATGAAAATGAAAAGAAGTGTTGATTCAACTACAGGTCTAGAAGTTATCTTTAAGATGGCAGGTCATAACTTAAAAAATGGGTCATGGTCACCAAAAATAAAACGCATTAGAACCAACAGTATGAACCCATACCGACTAATATATTTCGCCGATCAAACATGTAGACATTTTTGAAACAAATACTGTCCTAATTCATTTTAACATAATTAAAAAAATAAAGAGTGGTAAAACAAACATCCAACTGATCACCCTAAAATTCTCGTGCAGCATCAACATAGTCACAGTCTATATTATTTTACTAGGTTTTCGGCTTGGTACCAGGAACCTTCCGGTCTGTTGTGGGGGGAAGTCTATTCCTGCTGTTGACTGTAAGTCTAAACCGTGCTGAACAAGTAACTTCACTCACACAAACCCTTAACCAGTAAGAAATATAACACTCATTACATGATTTATTACAGCCGTTTAATCAGAACAAGTTACAGCCACGTTAACCGACAACAGTCACAGCAACACAAGGAATAAGTAGCCGAGCTCAGGTAGCTCGACACTGGTTGCAATGATATTAAGGCATTTTTAGCAAAAAAATAAGTCCTATTGTTTGTTGTACAGAGATGTGTTGTGCATTGGGATGTATTTGAGTGGATTTGTTCAGTGTGGCCACATTAGAAATAATGACTGATTATCAATGTTATTCTCCTCTGTGTCGTTCTGACAAACCTTGTTCTTCTCCACCAGGCCTCAAAAGAGAAAAGGACAACGAGGAAGAGATAGGAGTTTTTAATGAAGGTACGTGACTCTAAGGACTAAAGTTTACATTATTGCCATTTTTTCAGACGGTGCATAAAATTATTGTTAATAAAATATTATCATCTACAAAATTCAGTATATTAACACATAAAAACATCAAACCTTAAATTAGCTAGTAATTCAATTTCATGTCAATCAACTACTCAAGGAATCAACAGCGTTAGAATCAGTAATTTGGATGTGCATTGAATGACAACCTGCTGGTTTAAGAAGACAAAAAGTGATACGACTTGTTCCCGTTGTATTTTCTTACTGAACTACATTTATGTGAAAAAGTACTGCAAAAATCATCTTTTTTTAGCACTGAAAGAAGCATCATTCTTACTTAATGTGTCAGACAAAACAACATTTTACATCACGCCTTTGCTTCCATTTCATGAAATAATGTGTCTTTATAATCTGGTATCTTTTCTGTTGTTTGCAGTTTCCGTGGAGGAAAATTTGGGGGTGTTTCTGAAAGCAAGCTATGGTGACGTCAGCCCAGAGGTGAGACACCACTGGAATTCCTTTGTTGTGGAGGAGCTGCCTCACAAGCTGAGTAACAAGTGAGTCACATTTACCATAAAAAGGAACAATAGGATTTATTTTGGTTAACCATTAAGTTGAATTCCCCCCCCCTGCCATTTGTGTTGCTTTTTGTCACACTAATAACTAATAGCCTTTGTTAAATGTCTTCGCTGTACAAGAGCTGAAACTTTGAACTAATCTAGTTGACAATATTTATTTGGGTTTGTGTATCTTACAATCTCAATTGTGCTTGTGGTTATCAGTGAGGGCCAACCTGTCAATCTTCAAGCTTTACTGCCGGAAGCAGGAGAGACACTTTTCCTTGAAGGACCCCCAGGAAGCGGCAAGACGACCGTGGCCCACATCCTGGTCTCTTCTTGGTCTGAGGGGTCCGCACATCCACTCTCCAAATTCCTCGATCTCAGCACTCTTCCACTTCTCTTTTACGTCGACTGCGGAAAAGCGAAGGGTGACCTGTTTCAGGAAATCACGATTCAGCGCTCTCTCACGGAAAGGATGTCCACGGAGGACGAGCTGAGGACGGTGTTGACCAGCTCCCGCGAGGCTCTGCTGCTGTTGGATGGCTACAGAGAGGGGAACCCACTTTTCGACGCGTCCTTGAGGAAGTTCCTAGTGGAAAAAGGAGGGTGCAGGGTGTTGGTCGTGGCCTGCCAAGGACACTGGCCCACACTCAAGGACACAGTTGAGCCAAAGAGGGTGCTGCAGCTGCAAGCAGTATGACGCACAGAGGACTCGCGTGTACGTGAATAACAAAGACGTTGAGCAGGTGTTACATGTAAAACAAACACAAGTTTTTGTATGAACCCAAATATGCTGCGAAATGTGTTGATTTATATGTGCTGTATATACTAATTGTGCATTCTTTACATGGCAGCCCTGATATTTATTAAAACTTTTTACAATAATATGTACCGATTCTTCTTCTCAAGACATTTTAAGAAAGAACATCATTTTGCGCTACAGTAAGAATGGAGAAACTCCACGATATCATCGGTAATCCACTCTAGCTTTGTTTGTGCTTTTCACGAATCCCCGAAAGTGGTTTCAGATGCACCATCAAACTATCTGTTTCCACCATATCTGATATTGCTTAATTAATAATTGCAGTATTTTCAGTTTCTGTTCAGTGTCAGTTCATTGCAAAGCCGGAACGGCTCTATGGGCCATTGGTGAAAAGGGAAGTGACTGTAAGAGTATTCCTGGCAAGAGAGCTTGCTGCTTCCAGTAATGTTTGATTTCAAAAGTGTTTCTTTCGTTTCTGTAAGTACATTGTTCAGTATTTGGAGCATCTAAGTATCTAAGAAGAAATGAGTAATTCTTGAGTCAGCATGTATGAACTCTGGTATGACTAACTCCCCGCTTAATCTTTGGCATTGTGCAACCAAACAACTGCAGCATCAGCCGTCAGTTTGAGAGGAGAACCTTCACTGAATGCCTGACTGTGTTTTTCTACTGTAGTCAGCAATAATCAGCCTGTTCTTTCCATTGTCACACTTAAATACACAAAACATGTTGATATGTTAGATTTACCTTATAAATCGAGAGGGATGAGCAATTAAAGACTCTCCTTAAAGCAGAAAGGACAGTTATTGTGGTCTTCAAACATTTTACAATAGCACAGGGTCTAATCATGAAAGATTTTTCTCAGAATGATGAATCCAATTCTGAGGCCCTGCATGTCTCATAAAAGTTTCTCTCTTCGCTTAACTCAAATTATCACCCTAAAAACACAAAGGAGTTGTCATTATACTGTGCCGGCCATAATCACAGCTATTCAGACACAATCACAAATGCTATACAGAGTTTAGTTAGGCCAAATCTCTTGTTACTATATTTTGCATAATTTGAGGATCACAGTAAAAAATCTGAATTATGGGAAATACAAATGTGTTGCGATATGCTGGAAGTGAAGACAGTTTGCAATATTCTGATGGAGGGAAGGGAAGTGGTTTGTGATGCAAGATTGTGTAAACTTCAGGAGATGCTTCCAAAAACAATCTGTGGAATCAATTGACACTAACAAACTATTGCTATTATTATTGCTATTGCTATTATGACAGCTGCTAGTTCTTCAAGGAGAAAACAGCCACTTCATAGGCATATTGTAGGGGTGTATTTGCTATTAAAATACTCATTTTGGGTGAAGTATTGGCGTTTTGTTACTTCCCCTTTCAATTGGCAAACAAAAATGTGTTCATTTTGGTTGTTATCCATACATAATATCTTATAGCGCTGAACTTCTCCCGTTACAACACCAACAGAGAAGGGTGTAGTTTCAGTCCCTGCCTACATCCTAGTTTCACTAGATGGTGCCATCCTCCTTTTCCATGTAGTCCCACTGTGAGAGCTGACTCCGTGTCTGATCTCAGCAGACTGTGAATCCATGAAATTACGATTTCTTACTTTGAATTTAAAAGCCACGGGGAAAATGATTTTGAAGCCAAACAAACCAAGAGCTAGTATTTGATAAAAGGGAAGAAGGGAACTTCTGATATTTCACGGCCTATGATTTTAGTCAATCCTACCTTATGACCAACATTGTGAGCTCTCAGTCAGGCTAAGTTGTAATGTGTGTGGTTGTAATTATCACATCCAGGGGTGTCCTTGCCAACGTACCAGGGGACCAGCACATGAACAAGAACATCCTTTTTGTCTCTCAGATTGAGGGAAATGGATAAAAAAAAAAATAGTCCAGCTGTCCAGGATATTCTCATCATCTATTCAATCTGAGGAAAATGCTTCCCCCTGAAACTCAACTCCCCAAAAGCTACTTCTACACCCCCTCACCCACTACCTCCCAACGGCAACACACACACAAACACAGCACACACACTCAAAATGAGGGTTAACCCCATCAAAAAGGACGGTCTCCGACATGCACGGCCCCCATTTCCTCCTTCAACGTCAACCTCCCCAGACCAAAGGGGCGGCTTCGTCCTTTGGTAATTAATATTCTAGGGAAGAGGAGAGCATCGGGAACCAATTATTCAATAATGTATGGATGTAAATGCACGTTGTGTCCACACAAAAAGACAAGCACTCACAGATGCATATACCTCACCGTGATCTACCCTTCCAGATCCGGTTACTCACCAACATGCAACACAACTGGAGTGAATGTGTTGAATGTGCTAGATGGAGGGTGAAATCTTGCACGTTAGAAATACACGTGAAGCACTTCAAAACGCCTTTTAGATGAAAGGTGCACATGTATAAACTTCCCTTACCTAAATTAAACATGCAGCACATCTGTACTGTACAGAGCAAAAAGTATAAATGCATATGTGTATTATCACTATGCACTGAGTCTAATAATTCATCTTAATTACAGAGCAGGGTGGCGAGGTGTTGATCGCTGAAAGGATGCCACACTTGTTGTTTTCACCGGAGTCCAACGCACGAGTCCAGCCTGCGTCCGCGTAGTCTCTGCCGGCCCCCGAACGAGTCTGTCTGGTAATTGGGATCAGATGAGTGGCAGCGAAAGCGAGGCGACCTGGGTTCTCCGGGACCCACGCTAACCTGGAAGCATTTATTTTATGGAAAAGATGTTTAGTTAAAGTGCAGCGCTGCAGCCTGCAGCCCAGCCCCTCTAATGACTCTCCAGCTCTCCTGCTCGGGCCTGGAGACAGAGTCCTGTGATGGATACGACTGGTGAAACAGGGACACACACACACACACACATGCTTCCATCACCGTGCACTGTGATGGATATGACTGGTGAAAGGTCTGAACACTGCTTCCTGAGTCCTTCACTTCCTTCCTCGCAGGCCTCGGTCAGCCAAGCCGAGCCGGGTTTCGCCAGACTCGGGCCGGATTGGATTGCAGATTAACTGGCTTCCTGTCCAATCCGCTGGCCGCGTTCATCTGCTTTCCTAACGGTCACTTTTATTTATGAGCAAGCGGTGACGTTATTGACGATGAATGAGCCTCTTCAGGATGGATGAGATCCTCGGGGGGGGGGGGGTTAAGGATTTACTGAGGGACATTGTTGTTTAGAATTGTATTGTGGAAAGAATTTAAGAAGACGATCAGCGATGACTCAATAACCAAATACCAAATACTGCTTTTCCTGTCATGCAACAGCCTCCACCTCTCGTTATGTGCAGCTGAATTTGAATAAAGTCCTTGTTGTCTCCTAATGAGCCCTGAATGTCTTAGTTCTTTTATTTAGATTTATTTAGATTTTACAACCTAGCGAGTCAGCACTGTAGAACTTTAAGAATACAATGCAAGATGCGACATGAAAAAAAAGGAAAACAGAAAGTGGAGAAAAGAAAAAAAAAGAAAACAGAAAAAAAGCTTAATAACAACAACAACGGGGTATTGTATCTCGTTCGCACAGCAGTCAGACATGAGTACATTTCGATTGTTTCATCAGGTTGAGTCAGTATCATTACAAGTGTTTGTTTTTTAAGTTAAGTCTTATTTTCTTAAAGCAAATGAAAAAAGCCACCAGTTGGCGATTGATTATTATTTTTATTTTTTCTAATGCAGCCATCTGCATAAGTCTTGTTTCAATAAACTTGTATCTGAAAAGAATTAAAACTGATCTTTACCCAAAAGCCGATTTAAAAGAATACTTTCACCGAATGAAAACTGAATAAAAGAAGGAAATAGTTCTTTGCTAGGGCTCGAGGGGATTTTTTTCTTACACCCTATTCACTAAAACTAAAACGCTTAACAGTCATTTTTTGGCAAAAAGCGAGGAAAATCATTTTTGAAGACGTTAACAAAAAAGGACACAGGATTTTTTACTTTCTTGTCTGATACCTTCAGTATTTAAGACGTAGAGATATAATCGTGAATTCGGTCCATTGTCATTCGCTTCACCATCCCGTCACCGCGGGGCTCCAACAGCACCCACCACCAAAGCTCTCATCCTCTTCCCTCCCTCGCTCCCGCTGGCAGCCCTTGATTACACTCGTCTCCTGGGGGAAGGTTTTAACTCCTCAGAGATAGTAATATCGAGGGCACTACTGGCTAGTCACTTCAGATCAGGACAGGGGGAGGAAATGGCGACGGACATAAAGCTAAATATATAATTCCTCCCATGCCGGTAATCACGATGTCCAGACGATGTGAATTGACAGTTTAACCACTTTAGACTGAGGAACGCTTTGTTCCGATTTGAGAAGTGTGTGTGTGTGTGTGTGTGTGCTGCAGCGTCTGGTTGCTCCCTTCGATGGTTGGAGAACCACCTCGTGGGTATAGAGGATATCCAAAGGGGCCCGTGTGGTCCTCCCTAAATGCACATTTGCGGGGGAGGGAGTGGGGGGGGGGGAAGCGCACGTTCCACCGAGTTAAAATGGCTCGCAGACCAGACAGGAGCAATCGTGCGAATGACTGACGTTTCAAGAGCTCCGGAAGGAAACACTCTCAGCGCTTGGTATTAGTTCACCTGATTATTAGGATATCCAGCTTCCTCCTAAAACGGCCGGCCATTTCCCCGTTATGGGGCAGTGAGAGCGCCCAGCTGGATTAGGCCTAAACACCGCATTACACCAGGTACAATAAGGCCTCCTGCCACACAGCTCAACCAATTACTTCTATAAATATGAATAGGCCAATCTGCACGTATTCTCTTCCCGTGAGCCTGTTGCTGCGTCCCTGAAAGGGTCGGAGATACATCAGAGAGAACATCAAACCCATTAAAAATGTTTCTTCGATTTGCATATGCTGAGATCTTTGCTTCATACAGCCTCTCTCGATGGCTCACCCCCCTCCCCCTCCCTTCTCCCCCATCATCACGCCGCAAGAGGGGAGTGAATTTCGTATTCACGCGCTGATTGGATCTTTGATGAGATCTTCAGGGTGGCTTCTCTCACTCTCGCACTCCAGAGGTGATGAGAAGAGGGAAGAAGGAGGTGTGTGTGCGTGGTGGGGGGGGGATGTCCAACTTGTGTGTGTGCTGAAGTGGTCGGCTCAGTTGCCGCCCGGCTCCACTGCCTCCTCAGCGGTTCAGTCGCCGCACGAGCACCACGGCTTGACGTTTAGAGTGTAATCACAGGCGGAACAATGGGAATATATAATACATATAAAATGTGATATATATATATATATATATATATAAAAACACATTTTTCATCTTTAGTACACACAGTCAGTGTCTATATGATACGATGTAAGATGTAAAACTAGTATTAGATGATTTCTTGAATACAGAAATCTCTCAAGAAAAGCAGAACAATGCAAAGAGGGGCAGAATGAAGTAAAGTTGGATAGCAACACTCACAGGATTTGCATTATCTATTTTTAAAATTGTACTATTTTGGATATTTGTGCTTTCCGGAAAAGAGGGATGAAACGGATTAAATTGAACTCGGTGCAATGCAATAAATGTTCTTTCACAAGCAATTCCAATTTGAAGAATTCAAGTGGGACCATGCAACTTTTAAAAGAATAAATTCAAAAATTCTCTCTTACAAATGAAAACAGTAATCCAATAAGTACACACAGCAGTTCCTCACTTGGTGCGGTGCAGGAGCAGCACTTATTGGTTACGTTATATTTAGCGTTATCACGAACTTTACTGACTCTCTACTCGTCCTAAGGCTGCGTATTCGTCACCTGAAAATCTAACCTTTACAGTCACCTTTGCGGCTGATGAGCAAAATCTTCCAAGTACGGCTCTAATTATTGAGATAAACGGATGCCATCCTGGTTATGTTCCTTGATACGATTACATTCTGATTCGAACATCTCATGTGCTTTTCTGTCCTGAAAGAATCAGACATGGGTGATTTTGTGTTGGAAATGAAGCTTTACAAAGAGCGCGTTGTGAGATAAAGCTGGAAGCTGTAATTGGTGTGTAATCTTTCCTTAAATGCACAAGCAACGTATAAAAGGCCAGACTAACAAATCAAACATTTACTAAGCTAATTCAGACTTGTATATTTTAGTGAGGAAAACGCCAACGGACGCAGCAGAACTTCCGTGAAGACAAAGCTCGATCGCTTTCGTATTACCACAAAGCAGGCATGCACGCACATGTGCACATGCCCACACAAACACACACACTCAGTCAGAAGGAGGTGCTCTTAGTAGTAAACATTTGAAAGGAACAGGGTAATTCACTTGATAAATGTCAACCAAAATGAAGCTATCAGCTGAAAGCAATTTCCTCGTGCTTGCCTGCGTTCTGCGCCAGGGACTTGGGAGATTTTCACCCCTCCATCGATCATGAAGCCTCTGTTTTAGGCCAAGGTACACAATGCCCTCAAATTGCTGACATATGGACCCAGAATCACCGCAAAAAACCTGCCATTTCCACCCCACCCCTCCTCTGCCCCGACTCAGCCACTCCTCCGCTAAACTCTTGTTTATCCAACGACTCTGGTCTGTTTAGGCCATTAAAGTGAAGCCATTCGGGGAGACAGAGGGCCAAGGCAAATGCAATAAAGCCACAATGCGTAGCGTGCGACTCGGAGCGGCTGCCACCCAACGCCGAGGACGACAGATTAGAAACAACAACGGGGAATCCGCATCGTCACAGTCGCTCAGTTCACTTTGTCCATTTGAAAAGAGGTCGGACGCGAGAATCGGAATCAAAAGCCGCGTTTGTTACGCGTGAGACGGAATCGGGAGTTTGTGATGTTACAGCGCTGTGATCATCAGGCGACCGGGTGGTGATGAGAACAAGTGTGTGGGCAAACTTCCTAAATTAAACCTGTCTGCCATGTGGGCTTCCTGGGAAGAAACAGAAACACGGTAAAGAGTAAGACAGCGACCACATAAGAGCACAGTAATGCCTCGGCCTGGTGTAAACAGTGGAGAGATGAAAGCAGAGATGTGTGTGTGTGTGTGTGTGTGTGTGCGTGCGGCTCGCTGGGTTTCCCGTTCATACAGTTCTTGTTATTGATCCACCTCGAACAAAACTGCTCCGCCTACAGTTCTTGTCCGTGGCTTGAAAATTGCAGTTGTTGAAAGACAAAAAGGGCCAAGTGCACAACATGAAAAGCCTCTTTCCCTAATGGGCAATTGTGGGGCCGGCAGCCAGGACCTGGAGGTCTGTGCACAGGAAAAGTCCATTATCACTCTGACTAATGCAGGAGGGCGCGACTTCAAACCAAAAGTGGAGGAAAAGAAAACAAGAAAAAGGAGAAAGATGACGCATATGGTACAAAGCAGTGTTTCTTTAATGGAGTCCATCAATAATGTTACTTTTCCGGCTTTATTTTCGAGAGTAGCCGTATTATCAATCGTAGACATGGGACAAAATTAAAGCAGCTTTTTTATCAAGCGCATTCTTTAACAGTCTTGGAATCAATGTGAAACAAATGTTTGGCAACACGCTAATCATATCCTCTTTTCTTTGGAACGAACCCTCTCTCCCCTTTCTCCCTCGCCACCAAGTCCAACCCGCAGCCAGTTTACACTCAGACGGGTGCGCTTGTTTTACGTAAACAGACGGTCCTTGTGGCAGAGGGTTTGATTAGGAGGCGGCCTACAAATCCTATTAAAAGTACATTCGTCCCTTGCTCGGTGTTTGTTTGAAGACCGGAAGAGTAACAAGGGAGGAAGGAGATGACTGGCAGTCTGTCGTTGTTGTTTCCATGCCAGTTTCTGTTATTTAACTGCTGAAGGAGTCACTATTATAAAAGACGATGGGGTTGACATGTTGCTGTGTTCACCTGTAGGTTCAACTACAACCGAAATGTCATCACACATCATCACAGTCAGCCTAACAACTCCTTGGTCTTGGCTACCAGCTGCTTGTCAATGTCCACTGCAATGTTGTCCGCCATCTGCTGAATCTGTGAAGGGGAAGACACATTTCCAGCTCACTTATAAAAGACGATGAGAAGTGAAGAGTGACTTTTGCTATTTCGGCTGCAACGTGACAGAACAATGAAGGTCTACTTGTCTCACTTATCATCAGTTACCGATCATCCTTACATGAAACCTCGTCAGTATTATCTTTTAAGATTCTCTACGTGCAGTAGCACCGATGGCCTTTTTTTTATCCCACCTGTTTTTCCACAAGTCGTACGGTGTCCTCCGAGTGTCCCTCCTTTGTCTTTTTGACCTGTGTGACAGCATTAGAGCGCACTTTCCTCAGCGAGTCTTTAGCCTTGTTGGTGAACTGTTTGGCCAGCTTGGCGAGGTTCTCTCTGTGCTCCCGCGTTACTCTGCAGGAGAAGAGGAGGAGACGGTCAGATTCTGCACCCGAAACAAGAAAAGGTAAACTTTTTATAGAGTGTACTATAAATGAAGCACAAAAAAAGGCAAAATAACTACAAACTGCACCAATGAACTAAAAGAAAGGGTTGGTCAGACACACAACTGTGTGTGGACAAAATAATGAAACAAAAAAATCCAATGCTTAAATGAGAACCTTAAGTGCTCTTATCATGAAGTCTAATTTTGGTTCAGACTCATAAGCAACAAACTAACTGAGGTCTCCGACTGCAGCTGAAACACACATCAACGTCGAATTCACTTTGCAATTGTTAATCACTCAGAAAATCCTACTTCCCATTTCACTTTCCCTCTTTGTCCTTAATTGACCATTTTCCTTTTTGCCGTTTCTGCCTTTGGGACTATTTGCAAACAATCCAAGTGCAGCGTCTATTTACCACAAACAATACGTCCTAATTACTGATTCCAGGGCCAATCAAGGAGCGCCTTCTCCTTGGAAATGCAAATGGAGGCTTGGAGCGTGCCGAGACTGATTGCAGGGGGGAAAGCAGTCTGACTCTTGTGTCCCTCCTCTGCCAGACTAACACCTGCTGCTCAACGCGTGCACACACACGTGCATGTGCGCGCACACACACACGCACGTAAACACGGGCCGGCATTTATACATGCAAGTACACTCGCATGCACATCTGTGTATATGTAAAAAGCACGCAGCGTATACACGCAGAGTGGTTTAGTGAGTGAGGGATGGATAGTTGTTTGTGAGGTTGTTTGACTTGGCAGAGAGAAAAAGAGAGAGTGCGAGTGAGAGAGGTCTAGTCACAATTGAGAGAAGGAGAGAGAGACCCGGCCCTCACATCAACATACTCGGGGCATCCATACATGTAGCAACAATCTACTTTACTAACGGGGACACATTCAAATCCTACTGCGAGGTTTAGCTTTATGCTAAGTTACCGTATGTATGAATAATTTCATTTATTTATTGGTTACGTGGCCTAATCAGAGAGAACCTAATCACCTAATGTTAAGTCCTGTGTTTAATATGAGAGACGGAAAACTGAGGAATGAGAAGAAAGTAAAAGGTATAATGAAAATAACGAAGAGAAGGAAAGTGTTTCTGTTCCTGCCCCCGGGGTGTGTGTGTGTGTGTGTGTGTGTGTGTGTGTGTGACTCACTTGGGAACAGGCACCTTGATAATGGTACCATCCACCTCTGGGTTAAGGTTCATGCTACTCTCTCTCAGGGCACGGGTGGCAGCCGCTGTAGCCTGGGGCACAAACACACACACACACACACACACACACAAAAGATATATGAATGTGTGCCTTTGCAAATCGAAAAGCAGCGCTACAACTGCAGGTAGTGGCCAACTTCCAGCTGGCAATAATTAAGGTGTTGTGTTTTCACTGTGTGTATCTGGGTGGTGTGTGTGTGTGTCTGGGGAAGCCCTTGCAGTGTGGAAGTGCCTTGGGCCACTGTCAGCGCTCGGCCCTGTGGGACGGGACTGAGAGGTTGCAGGGCGTTGACCCACGGCGGTTTCACAGGAGAGATTGCTTGTGCATGACACACACACACATACACACAATATTCTTAAATTTAACAGCAGATAATCGATTGTTTATGAAGATGGGAAACCGTAATTATCTTCTGGTGGGAACATGTATGTATGTTCACTTTAACTAAACTAAAAGGAACACAGATAGAGAAGAGTTTACATGCTCACTTTAACTAAAGTGAGCATGTAAACTCTTTTCAAACACAAGACTTTTACTTTTCAAAAAGGGTATTTATATTTGTTTTGCAGGCCAGCAGGCACAAAAAGAAGCTTGCATTCGTCTTAATGGTAAATATTAAAACCACATTCACTTATGCGAAACACAAAAAGTCATTGCACCGTAGACGACCCAGTCTGGCAAACACTGCATTAGAACCAGATCAAACGGTGCAAACCAACAAGGGGGAGGAAGTCAAACTCCTCAAACAAATTCTGCAACTGCATGACAATTCCCTCGGCTGAACTTCACAAAGTGTGCAAATGTGTAACGCTAGGAAAAAGAGCGTATCATTTTCCTCTTTTTTCTACTCTACTTCCTTGACAGCTCCTTCTGGCCTCGTCCACTGGGGAGAAAATGGCAGCGAGATTAAAGGAATTTATTTGTGCGCGGTACAATTAATTCATGAGGTTTCTCTTCGTTTCCTTTGTCAAACTCATACGCAGCCCAGGCCCTCCGGTTCTCCCTTTGAGTGCGGGGTGATAGATTCAGCCCATACCTATGTTTGATTGTTCTCAGCATCAAATTCATCACCGTTTCCGCCGACCACTCCGGTGGTTGAGGGGAAAAAAAAAAAAAAAAAACGAGAGGAATTTGTGTCTGAAAAAAAAAAAAAAAAAAAAAAAAAAATGCTGGCCCGGTTCTGGTTAATATGTTGGAGGGGAAGAGAAATCACACTGAAGTTCAACATCAAACGCCTGACGGCACCGTTCAAAGCACAGGAGGCGGAGCGCCGAGGAATGTGTGCGTGCTCGTGTTTGAATAGTCCTGAAAGAAAGCACTTTATGGACAAAGTGGCGGGATGCTTAATACGTGCACTTACACATTCATCCTAAAAACACACACACACAAAGCTGCCCCCTGATCTCAGCATGCTGGTGGTTGCCGTTAGTTCCTCAGTGCCTTCCCAGGCTGCTCCTAATGAATGAATGGAAAACAATGGCCGGGCCCCTGGAGGGCCCGGTAATGGATAGGCATCATTATAAGCCTATTAGCTCTAGGTGCTGAGGACTCACCTCTGTGTGGGACACGTTGGGCATAACGGGGTAGTGTGTGTCTGCCAGTGTGTGTGTGTGTGGTCTGTGGTTGGAAATAGACTCCGTGAAAGACCATTCAGCCTTAATTTACAGATTCAGGACACTGATACCTGCTTCGATGGGCTTGACGTTTTGTGATATCAGTTTGAGAAGAGAACAAAAGGTGCGTCGTCATGCTTTTCAGGTTCAGAGGGTGACCGGCAGGAAAATAAAAGGTTGGTGGAAGAACGTCTGTCGTAGCAGACAGGTGGTTACAGGTTGGATACAAAAGCAACAAGCTGCCTTTGAATGTCATTTATGTCGAAAACAGGAAACCAAATAATGTCACAATAGCTGGTTTGGACTTCTTTAGAAATCCCTTGTATTGTCCCCAAGATCTTGAATCGTTTGTTTTCCCACGCCTACTTGTTTCCCTTTTAGGCCATGCGGGCAGACTGAAATATCACATCAATCTGTATCTCGTAATGCCAGTGTAATGATAGAGGGCGTCACATCCAGAACATGGTACGAACAATAACTGCATGTTTCATTCATCGCGTTGAGGTACTGTACTTGCAGGCATCACTAGAAAGCCGGTATCATTGATCATTCCCATTGATCAGAACTTACAGGATTATTAGGTGCAACCTATCACTTCATTCTGCATTTCACTCTCAGACTCTTCTTTTTTATTCATATGGAAACAATGCACTTGAGTTAAATGACCTCCCTAATTAATATAGGTTTTAAACAACCTATATTATTTAACTTTTCTTACGGTTGCATCTCCGGAGAGACGGAGGAGATTTGAATCTCTTTACATTTTAAACAACGCACCACATTATTTCACGTACCCATATTTATACCCATATTTCAGCGAATAATATCTAGGAGAACTAAATCTCCAATGAGTACCGTCTGTGCGTTAATTTGATCGCATAATGTTGATTCTCAAGACCACCAGAAAGTCAGGTCTTGAATATGTGAGTTATTCCTGCAGACAATATTTATTTGTGGAGCTCTGATTAGCACAGTGTTGTATCATTCAAGAAGAAATGGAGGGAAAGAAAAAAAAAAAAAAGAAGAAAAATAATCCATTCCTTCCTAACCTGGGGGTGAAATGAGGTAATTTCCTACTCTGCGACAACTCGTACGCAGACATAACCACATCTCAGTGCACGCACAGAGTTTGGGTTCATGTTGCCATCTTTCACCTCAGAACAAAGGGCTCCCCGAGTGATCCATCAATTAGCATCTGAGACACGGCCGGAGAGAAGGAGGCAGGTCGGGTTTCATTTGGACAGAGATGTGGGCTCGAGAGTTCTGGTCTGGCTCACTTTTCCTCCCGCCGAGCACCGTCGACCCGTCGGTGCTTTGGATTATTTTCATAAAGCTTTCGGTTACGCCGTGCTCGTCTTTCACGAGACGCACGCATACAGGTCCGAAGGCCCCGCGTTTGTTTGCGGGGACGTCTTACCTCTGGGAAGCTGCTCATGTTGACCATAATGAGCTGAGGGGATTTCATGGAGACCTGTCCCAACTGGTTGAGGGGGAACTTTCCATCTTGAGTTGTCACCACAATGTGATCCAGAGCTCCTAAACAGACGTAGAGAAATGTTAACGGCGATTTACTGGATTCAGTTGAGTATTTTTGTAATTCAAGGTGACGATGTAAGCTTTCCTTACTTTCAATACTGTCATACACAATATCTGCCAATATCTAAAATATCAGCCTTCACTCCAGTCAAACGTTTGGACACGTCAAGTTGAAATTTGCTTTTTAGTTTTCCGTGTTTTAAATGTATGAATCCACGTTTTTTAACATTAAAGTTTTTTTCTTAGTGCAAAACATCTCTCTGTGGTCTACGTTGTATTTTTCAGACAAAGCTTGTTTATACAGTACCAGTCAAAAGTTTGGACACATGTTCTCATTCAATTCAGGGAGAAAGTGTCCAAACGTTTGACTGGTACTATACGGATGAATGGAAGACAAATGAGTTCTAACCAATATATGGCTATAAAAAATGATCCTCAAAGGACATATTCGGTATCTGCCTCAAACAAGTGGTGAATAAAATCTTTTTCTGTTTTGGTGACAGTTACCATGCCGACGGAAAGCTTACAAACAGACAGACGGAGGTATGGACCGACGTGCAGCGGAAGTCACAGGTTTAACGACACGGGTAAAAAAACATAAAGCGAGACCACTGTGGAAGTGTGAAGAGTCTCTACGATGTGCCGTCCCTCCTCGCTGTCAACACCGAAGAACAAACATCGGCAGACTTCTGTCGAGTCTCCCCCCCCCCCCGCCGCCCTCCTTCTCCCACCCTCTCCCCCCGGACTCCATCCATCCGCCCCTCTCCTCCATCTGGCTAACCTCAGACGCAGTTGTTTCCTCCTTCTCCACCTCTGCCTTGCATCACTCGCTCCCTGCTTACCCGCTGCAGTCCTTGCTGGTGGTATGTGCAGGAAAAAGGGCGGGACATGGGTTGAAGTGGGGGTGAGCCAATAGTGCAAGTTTAAAAAATCAATTCATCATACAAATTCAAGTGCGTTTTCATGAGGTTATTGGGGTATCAGTCAGAGAATAGACGCCAAACAAGGTTGGGGTGAAATGGAAACCTTTTGTTTGCTGCGCGACTGGATCCATGACATACCGTCTACCTGTCGACCAATTATTCTGTCTCTTAAACGTTTGTTCTTTCTTTGACAACAGAGTGCGAGGAGGGGCGCCGGGGTCCAGAGAAGGCTCAGGGGAGGATGGCTGGATTGTTCTTTAGCAAAGTATGTCTAATACTGATGATCTCAAACATGAAAACGAATGAATGATGAATATGCTTTTGTAGCTACATTGTTTTGCCCTGCAGGCCACATTGTTGTGAACTTCCTACGGGGATGTAGGCAATAAAAACCACACAATATTCTTCAGACTGAGTTGTTCCGTCTGCCACAGAGCTTGAAAAGCATTGTAGAAAACTGAACTGATTGTCACATTTTCAGTTGATATGGCAACGAGTTGGTGCGCAGCGGCTGATTGTTACATCCAGCAAACATTTTCATTCACTCCGAGTCGTCTTTCAAGCCACCTGGTAAGCTGCTAGACCAACTCTCACTCGGTGATTAGCGGCTTTTGGTCACCAACTTCTCAGGAAAAATGTCCGTCCTCCTCGCAGTAAAATGCTCAGTTGTGGACATAGTGTTTGCTAACTTTTAATCGGTTTGGTGCTGAATAGGTAGCGGACAGTTGGATTTTAGTAGCTCAGGAAATAAAAACTAATGCCAAGAAAAGAGTGTGTAATGAGAGTGAATAAAAAAAATTAAAAAAAGATTTACCAAAAGACGGCGGTCCTGTGATTCATCAAACTTTATAGTATCGGCCGAGGAAGTAACCGTTTGAGCAGATATGAGGCACAGGGCCCATCCACAAATTATTATTACCTTCCATTAACATTACCAGATGGAGGTCTGTGCTCCCTTCAGGTTATCAGTGGCTTTGTTTCTACAAAATGTCTCTATTTCACAATTGAATCCATTATTAATAAAGGCACATTGATAATAGCAGATTTTGTGTGCTGGGGTGAATTCTAAACAACCATTTTGTTTTAAGATTTGCTCATGGGAGCGGCGACTCTGCGGAGTCTTATTGTGGGCGTTGAAGTTGCCAGGCAACCAGCGGACACTCAAAACACCGGCACAGCAAAGAAAAAAAAAAGCAGTAACGTGTCTTTAATTGTATTTAAGAGGTAAAACAAATCTAATAGAGGTTTGAAATTAACTCTCTGCAAAAAAAGAGACTAATTGTATGTTATTTATTTTAGGACAACCTGTTAGTACCTGAAGCTATTTTAAAGTAGTTTAATTCCAAGTTGGTATTTCTTTCCCCAGTAATGTTGTTATAGTTAAATGCCTCAGTCCCCCCGGTATTGACAATGTTTCCATGGATACAGAACTTGTTTTGGGGCCATCTTTACCCATCTGTGACAAACCACAAGCTGGTGGTCACAGCATTGATCCATTCTGCCTGCATCCGTGTACAACCTTCTGCTGCACACAAACAACAACATACAACGCGGATTCATGGTAGCACACACACACACACACACACACACACACACACACACACACACACACACACACACACACACACACACACACACACACACACACACACACACCGGCACATACAGTCATATCCACACACACACACACTCATAAGCTTAATGAGAGCCAGATGAGAGGTTCATGGAACAAACGTACAAGACACATACACACATTTGAAGCGCTGACGTCATCCCATTCCACCATCTCATCTCCCCTGTCAGCCTTTAAGTCCGCTGCCTCCCCGGATTACCGCGCAGCTGGAGCGAAGAGGGGTGGATGCGTGGAGCGCAGGCGGCAGTGAGGGGGTCGGGAGACGGAGCGAGAATGACGCGACGGAGGGATGGAGGCAGAAAAAAGAAAAAAAAACCAAGAGGAACGGAAGGAGGACTGAGAAGATGGAGGGCGCGGAGGAGGGAAATCTCGCCATGTGAACAAATGTGTCCTTGTGGTCAAAGAATAGTTCTTTCATGGAAAAGCATGAGACCCAGTTTGAAAATATCGCTTAAGGCGAGGTACAAAAAGGTAATGCCGTGTGAAAAAGAGACAGACATAAAAAGGAGGGATCCAAGATAGAAAATATCTCACAGCAGGACATTTCAGATCGATGAGAGAAGGGACGGTGAAGAATGGACAGATGTATTAACAAAGGATAATGAAAGGTTTTAAGGAGATCTCCCGTTTAACTCTCCTGCATGTTGTGCAAACTTAGAGAGACTGCACATGCTGCGGATCAAATGTCACTTTCATCTGAGGAGGAAAAGCTCAGACAGTTCTGCCTCTTCCCTCGGGAGCCTCCATCACGCACCCCACCTCGGACCACAGCGAGCCCGGCTCCCATTTGTTAGAACCCAGAGGCAAAGGAGTCGTGACCTGGATGTGGTCTGGGAAACAGAGGCCAAACTGGGGTCAAGGTGAGGTCACACCGGGGCTCGCTCTCTGCCCTCAGGCGCTTTTTCAGGCAGATGCAAGTTGGAAACAAAAAGAAAGGGAAAAAAAAAGACTTGACTAATTTTCAAGTAGGAAAATTAAAAAGTAAACAGCTCCATTATGATACATCTGTGTATTTAGAGTCATCTGTTGGATGTCATGGCAGCTTATTCAGATCAAGAACTACATGCTGTTCATTCAGGGCTACGACAGACCACAAAGCCTGTGTAGAGAAGAAGAGAAGCCTTGTTTGTAGATGATTCAGAAACAGATTCTTTGGAAAAAGTGGAATCGTACTTTGGTTTGGCTCTAATCGTTTTATCGTTCGGTGTGTCAACTGCGGATATCCATTAGATCACAGAATAAATCTACTGTTTACATACATATCCACCCGTTGGTTTTACATCTAATGAGTACCTTGCACTAAGAAGGAAAGAGAGGACAAAAAGAGAACGGGAGCCCAAGAAAAAACTCAGAGATAAGCTGACCTGGCGAGGTTCGGATGCTGAGGTTGCGTGTGAAGTCCTCTTTGAGCGCGTCGAGAACAGCCGTCATGTCCCCCTTCACCTCATCCAAAACGATGATGTCTTCCACCAGAGCCGAATTAATATTCACCTTAGCAGCCTGGCCCTTGGCCTTGGCTTGAAGGATGAAGAGATGGAAAGAGGCGATTCACAGAGGGAAGACTCAAATCTTAGATAGATGACATCCAATCCCGTATCCCAACGGCAGATGTACTCATGTGAACTCCAGGCTCCGCAATCTCCTCACTGACCTTTTGCCTTCTTCGTGGCGTAGAGTCTCTTGGGTGCAGCGGGGTAGAAGGTGGTGTTGGGGTGCGGCAGCGGTTCGGGGAGCCCATATGTGGCCACCAGAGGAGACCTGAGCTGTCGCGACAGGGACTGACACAGCAGAGGCCGCAGCAGACGCAGGTGATTCACAGACATATCTGACACCAGAAACAAGGGGGAAGGACATTGTTTCAATAGGAGAAAATTTAGAAAGGCACGTCAGAGTAGATTACAAACACAATGCCGGTAGGTTTGAAATAACTAATAAAAGCATTAAGTTGTACACAAATCAGTCGAAGGCACCACTGGGCCGGGGATCAAAATGAAGTAATAGCTCATTTCAGCCAGTAGGAGGTAGGCATATGTCTAGTACTGACATTAAAGAGCCATCATCTATTTTTTTCTTGCCAACTAGAAGATGATTTCCGAGTAAAAATAGAAACAAAATAAGAAAACAGTAGTTAAACTTGCAAATGCACATTTTATTTTGCAATGTTAGCCATATTTGCTAATGCAGTATAAGTAGTTGTACCCTACAAATTCAAATAACATACAGTACTTTAAAGAATCATCCTACAGGTAATCATCATTGGCCTATTTAACCGTTTAAAAACCTTAAAGATGTTAATAAAACGGTCACATGAAACTGAGGGATATGGATATAAATTCCTAGAGGAATTTTCTTTTCATAATTGATTAATCTGCCAAAAGATCTTATTCACGGATTTGCAACAACAATGGCAGCTGTGGTATTGGCCCTTGCCATCCAGTGTAATGGATAAATTCATTATTTCCCTGTTCCAATCCAATGAGCCAATATGGACTAAACCCTGGCCTCTGAAATGGAGCACGGCCATAATCAGTATTATTAATTACACCCGGGTTCGCCCTTCATCCCACGTGAAAAGGCTGAGGTTTAAAAAGGGGCCATTGTGCTCGCCAATCTGAGCCGCCGGTAACGTCATTTGTTTCACCTGCGCGTCTCCTGCCGTGACAACTAGAGCTCCCCGCTGTCGAAGAACGCTCTGCACTGAGCTGCACAGGTCACGTCGCACGCAGCTACACTCCGCTCACAAACATGCTGGCTGTCTTCCTACTACACATACAAATCTAACTCCAACGCCAAACGTCCACTCCCGTCCACTCCCCACAAACGTGCGTCCGCGCACGTTTGTGGGGAGTTTTGGGGCATTCCTGATGGGAAATCTCACAATGTGAGACCAACCAACTCCTTTTCTATGGAACAAACCGCCTCCCACCGCGCAAACCGGCTGCCGACTGTGAACTGTGCCACTGAACCTCGGAGTGCACAAGCACAGACAAACTGTTGAGGTATCCAAGCGTGCATGCGAGTCTCACAGACACGCACAGTCAGTCAGTCAGTGGCTGTGAGCAGCGTGCGGCGCGCTGCTGCCTGACTGGCATCCCCCATTGTCTGGTGTCTGTGAAGGGAAACAAACTGCTGCATTTAAAGACAATTTGGGCAACATTAGAACTTTCCCAGATTGCATCACAGCACAGTGGATTTTCTCAAATGATGAAGTAGGAACTTTTTAGCCGTTAAATAGTGTTTGCATAATGTAGCAAGTACGCCGCTCACTCCTGGTAACATATGTCCATAAAACACACCCGAAATGTGTTTTATTGATTTGTTCAGATTACTTTTTACATCTGCAAGATCATGCATCACCACTAAATCATTGAATGTAATCCAAATTTAAATGTCCTGTATTTACGTAAATGTGTTTACAAATCTGTCAGAACAAACCTTAAACCGTAATGTTTCCTTTTTGTTTAATTGTAGATTTTAAACTTCTCCTAACACAACACTGATCCCAGTGTCGGCAATGGCTACCAACCAAAATCCAAACATATTTCAATGTCAATATTTAGGCTAGATCGCAGACCACCACCTACAAAACAAACAAACCCATACCAGGCATCCACGGCTGGCAGGTTTCCTGACTGATGTGATAGGGCGCACGGTGGCGGGGCAGATATGCTCCGATGTGGGACGGTGACGGATCTCTTTAGAGTGGAAGTCAAGCAGAAAAGGGGAAGCACAGGTGTTCGGTGGGATACTGTAGCCTCACATCCTGCAGATTTCACACACTGCAGCAGCTGCAGACACGCCGCTCCTCCTTCCAGTGGCAGGAGACAGCTGGTGAAGCCCGCATGATCTCTCCTCTGCACACTCTGAGGCAGAAAAGTATTACCCCAGCACTTGGTTTGGCCTCCTGAAGAAAATTCTTCAGACTTGAAGAATCAGAACTGTCAATTCACGTAAATGTTTATTTGATTATCTGCTATGACGTAAAATGTAGAGGGGGGGGGGGGGGATTAACCTCAGCAGCCGTTAGGCAGCCATCGAAGGGAAAAATAAACGGGGCAATTTCCAATGTAACATCCCGAGATGAACGGATACAAGCTCCTGGATCCGACATGCCATTCACTTTATACAGTGTTGATGTTTTTAAGCCGAAAACACAAAGTATAGGCCAAACACTGAAGAATTAACCCAATAGTAGCGTGTGAACATCTTTAGGATAACGGACTAATCCGAGCACTTTGTGTAATTCTGGTCTAAGTGAGGCAGTGTGAAGGTCGATGATGTTATGCAGGCGTACATGCAGCATTGTTATGCACAGGCTAAATACTGAACATTAAAACGTCACCACGTCGTAACGTAACCTTAACGACCCGGCAAACCCCCAAACTTAAACTGAAAACGACACCAAAAGACACACCTACTTACTTTACAGCATTTACAGAAGCATGTTAGCTGGGTGAAAGCCACATTTGGCATCTACGTCGTCATCACCGAGCGCCGACGGTTTAGAATGTTCCATTGTGTGCTCGAAACCACGTACGGCGTGTCCCGAATAGGCGGGGTTCTTTTCCTGAAGACCAAACCAAGGGCTCGGAGTTGGGAGGAGTGAGATTGCGGGACATGAAATAAATAAAAACGAGCCTCTCCTCTCGACTCCGCGGACAGTTAAACAAACTACAGCATCATCCTGCGCCTTTGTTGTGAGGCGTTAGCAAGGCGACTATTTATCCTTCAGGATAGCTAACCCGATACATCTTATTAGAGGAAAACGTACAACTTGCGTGAAATGATTAGCGTTACGTTTTGACGTAACTGAATCGTCCCGAAGTGGGATCCCTAGTAGGTTAAGTTTCAGCCAATATTAGAGAAGAAGTTCGACGGATCCGAGAGGTAAATTGATTCTATTAGCTGTCTTACTGATAGCAACCCACCCTTCTTCCAAAACGGTGTGTTAACCGTTTAGTGGATACGTGTTGCCTTCTCTAATATGTTTAGATTTGAATGGCACAGATTCATTTAAACGTAAAGTAACACAATCAACGTTAACCGGCAAATGATTACAACGCTTGAATAGTAGTTTATCGATCAACCTACAGTTCGCTAAGCTATCGTTAGCTTGTAGCTAGACTTTAGCTAAATGTAACGCTAGATAAACTGTGTTGACAGCGGACTGACGGTGTGTAACGTCTCTAATGCGTTTGAGCACAAACCACTGCTTCATACACGTAACGTCAACTATGCATATAAATCATATAAAACAAAACAAATATCAAAACAAATTAACGACAAAATGACGTGAACTGACAAATTAACTGCTTTTATTTTATTGAAGTACAAGTGCATCTACTTGGTAGCAGTTTTGACTCAACCGTCTTGGTGTCATTAACACATTCCTATGAATCAGTCCCAGAGTTAAATGTGGGACAAAATATTTAGGTCATATCTTTTCTGACAACTTTTTCTTAATTTTCTAACTTTTCCGATCAATCATACAGGCCAAGGTGCTAAGACAGCTCCCATGCTGAGTATCCGACACAACTTTGATCTCCCTTCTGGTGTAAACTGGATTTCTCTTCCCTCTGTTGTTGCCTCCCACAGAGTCCACATGTCTTCTGCAGCGGAGTCAGTGAAAAATGCCTCCATCGTTTCGGACAGTGGGGCCCATGATGGAAACCGCCTGTGGATAGGCAACATTGACCCCAAAATTACTGAGTGAGTAAATCCAAACGTGACCTCACCTTTTAATAGATTAAAAGTTGTTCGAATTGAAAAAAAAAAACATATGGATTTCACTACAAAGGTACACATTTCTAGAATCAGACACCCAAACGAATAACAAAGTTACTTTGGTATTTTAGTAGCAACAATTGTTGCATTAGAGGTTATTGTAAGCCAGTCCATGTAATGATCCTGAGGTATTACTTTTAAACTTGCCAGGCTCTACCTCATAGAGAGGCAATGCACTGTGTGTGCGTATATGATTGATGAACTGTGTGTGTGTGTGTGTGTGTGTGTGTGTGTGTGTGTGTGTGTGTGTCTGTCACAGGCTGAGACTGAGCAGACAGGGCTGGGTGTGTGAAAGAGAGGCAGTGAGCCGTGGAGACCTGCTCTACTAAGGAGCAGCCATCATTCCTTACTCACCTGCCCTGTTTACTCTCTCTGTGTCAACCTGGAACTGTGTGTGTGTGTGTGTGTGTGTGTTGATGCTTGGGTGGCAGCTGGTGGCGAGGCAGGCTTCTACACACTGAGGTGTCTGCGTGTACATGCAAACCTTTTATTGTTGCACTTCTGTGTGTAGTCGAGTGTCTACATGTGCAGAACTCATATAGTGACTGTGAAGAACACCCTTACATGTATTATGATGCAGCGGAGTGAGTTTTCTGGGGGGTGAGGGGGTGTGTCAGTGTGCCTGTGGGGGATGCTGGAGAATATATAGGCCGCAGCTCTGGTGGGCGTCTAGACAGGCGTTTCCTTCCCTTTTCCCTGCTCTGCTCTACCTCTTCTTAAGTAGCTCACTGCCCAACAGGAGAGAGGGAAAACAAGAGTGATGGCCGTGGCCCCTGGTGCTGATTGGGAAGATTAATTAGCTCCTGGGTAGCATACTTGGTACTCTCTCTTTGTCCTAGTAAACCAAAGCAAAACTCCTGACTCCAGACCTGAAATGCAAGGTGCTTATTATGAGTACATGAAGTCATAAATATTAGCATTCGTTTTTGTGGGGGGTTCATTAAAACAGAACATTCTCTGCCACAAGTTGCTTACTTTATTTATTTGAAGATTTATGTTTTGAGGCATAAATGTTTCATTTGATTTACAGCAGTATAAACGTTTCACACTCATGTGGGACTCGTGACTTATAAATCTGTGGGACAATCTATTCCAAGTTCTGATTTTAAAAGATGAACATCTTTTTCTTCCACTTGTTCCACCTTGTTCTGTGCATGCAGAAACTGTTCAGAGAAAACTCGAATCATCTGCCCCTTTAAAATGCTCGTTAAAAAAGAAAAAAAAGGACCATTTTGTGGTTGAGCACTTTTGACCATTCAGGTCAGATGAGCATTGTACGTAATTCAGATGTCTTCGCCTTGCGCACAGCGCAGAGACTCAGCAGGTGCAACTGCAGCTTTCAGCACATATTCATGTTTTGTGCTTTTGGCTGCTCGGGGGGGGATTTCTCATTAGTGGTAATCCATCACCGCATCTCTTTTTGTTTTCTCTCTGGTCCCCTTGTTACATTTTAAGTTGCGTACCTGGAAGTTGACATTATGTTTTATTAAAGAAGGTTATAATCTGTAGGCCTAGATTTCTTAAAATTGCAGATATTGGCCTTGCCAGATAGTCCAAACTTCTCCTCTCTTTCCCCCCTTCTGACCTACTCTGCGTCCAACCTTTTGTCCTGTCTTTTTCTGGACTGGACTCTCGTGCCCTGTTTTCACTTCCTTCCTCCTCTTCGCCGGCCGGCCCTCGCGTCTCCCCTACCTGGGCTTCTCACCTCCTCTCTTCTTTTGGCTTCTCGTCCTCTTCCTTCACCTTTCACCTCGCCTTCAACATCCCCTGTATGAACTTTACTCCCCCAGTCTCCCCCCACCTTTCCCTCCCTTTCCTCCCTCCCTCCCCTCTCCTCCTCTTCCTCCGGTGGTTTTTACAGCCCCCAGGAGGAGCGGTCCATTGTGGTTCAGCTCGCCAGCATCCAAAGTATGTTCTTAGAGTGTCAGCCATTTAATCTCTCTCACATTTGCACGTATGCACACACCCGTGTACATGTGTGTTGTCTGACTCTACAGCAATATGAATATTATTGCATTACAACTGTTTTCACTTGACTTAAGTGACCTTTTCGCTCTCTTTACCGGTGTTTCAGAGGCTCAAATACAAACTATTTGAATATAAGAGTGCAGAATAATGTCATAATAAAGTTTAATATGATATAATCTTTTATTTGTAGATGAGCCTGCGCTGCTGGAGTAGCCACCTTCACATGAGACGCTTGCAGGGTGTTGTCTGGGAAAAACTGAAATTCACTTTGGCCAAAAGCCCCCCAGGGAGTCATAGAAGGTGGAAGACATTACAGCAACCTGTTGCTAAGGCGCACAGTTCCCGCTCTGTGTCCCACATTCACTGCCATTCATGCACGGGACTGCGTGTCACACAATCCTCTTTGTGGTTACACACAGACACACACAAACCACTTCAGAATTACCAATAACAATCAACTAAACAATAAAAGGCAGTCACACAAAACACGCCACTGTGAGGATTGAAAAGTCCCGCGTGGCGAAGACTCCGAAAAACCAACAATACGGGAAATTGTTTGTTGGTGTCTTTTGTTTGTGCATTTAGTTTTTGCTTTTTATGGTTTGATAGACTAAACACAATGTTGAACGAGCAAATTGATGCTGACTGACTTTCTTTTGGCGGCTTCAGTTTAAGGGTCCTGGGGGGTTCACGCTGGCTCACCGCCTCAGGAGCCACATGAACAGAACAGAACCATCATCAGGTTCAAATCCTCTACTTAAGTAAAAGTGTAAATAACACTCTAAAGAAAATACTGAGGACAGGTCCTTCATTCAAAAACCTTACGCAAAAGGATGCAACTTTTATCAGCAAAATGTGCTTAAAATATCAAGTACAGTAGTAGACGGTCGCAGTAGTATTCCAGTAAAATGGTCCTTGTCAGTGTTTTACCTTTTTAAATATGATGCTTTAGTCTAAATATTGATGTTATATTAAAATAAATGTTGCACTTTACAGATTTTACTGCTGCCGATGTGCAAGCCGTGGTGCTACTTTTAATTCTTGTATATACTGTAGTTTAATCTACAGTAATGTATCATGAAGTCATGTTGCGCTGCTCTCCTGTAATAACCACCACCATGACAAGTCAATTGCACAATGAAAGATGCCTGTTGAGTCAAACTAATGTCCGTCAGTTACATACATCTATCATAAAGCAATATACATGAGCAAATTGTTCAGGACATTTGGTTAAAGAACACGAGGAAAATGAAAGCGTTTTTCTGAAGTCATTTATTGTTTTGAATCCTCAGTAGCTGCTCACAGGCGGTTTCAATACCTAATCAATCAGGAGTACACCGCGTGCTGCTTTTGGACTCGCTGGCTGCAGACTCGCCGTATTGCCTTTCAGAAGAAGAAGAACAGGCCTCATCGTTTATGCTGCACGCTTTTACAATAATGAAAAAGATTTTCACCATATAAAACCTGTCCGGCTCGAGAGCTTTGAGGAGCTTTGCTGTTCAATCAGCACTTGGGTGTATACAGCGTTGTTTCCCCCCCCAGGGTCCGCCTGAGGTCCGCTACACGCGAACCTACAAATCCTCGCGCTCCGCATAGCTCCACAATGACCACATTTCTGCGTACTCCGGTCAGCCTATGCCGGTCCCAGGCAGCTCCACGCGGCGGGTGGATGTTGTTCGTGCAGAGCTCGGTGCTCGGGGCGGGGGGGGGGGAGATTATAGGCTTCCTCTCTTTTATTCCCTCATTGTCCTGCTACTGTATCCTCGGCATTGTCTCAATGAGAGATTTACTGTCGCCGCGTTGCCACACCAGCTGGCCCCGCCGCTAAAAAGGTGTCGGAGCGAGAGAAAGCTGTCGTTCTCATTAGCGGCCCTTGACAGATTCACGGACTGCAGGTTGGCAAATGGAGTGAGCTGCAGATCTTCACAGGGTCCATCTATGAAATACTGTGGAGTGTGTTTTGCAATGGAAGAGTTCTTTTCCCGTGTGACATCTTCGCTAAATAAAAGTTACACTGAATAGAAATAGGAATAGAAATTCCTGCTGTAAGTTGTCGTGACTCCTTTTCTCCGACAGGTATCACCTGGTGAAGTTGTTGGAGAGGTTTGGCAATGTGAAACAGTTTGACTTCCTGTTCCATAAGTCGGGGCCTTTGGAGGGACAGCCGCGGGGCTACTGCTTCGTCAACTTCAACACCAGAGAGGTATGTGCAAGGTTTAAACGTGGTTTATATTTATATATCTTGTACAACATTATTTTCCTTTTTCTGCAGTATGTATATTATCCACCACATACACATCCTGTGTTTCCTGTGAAAATGGGTTATTTATATGGGTCATTGTGGGCACAGATATGGCATTTTCAAAAAATCAAGAATATTTCAGTCAATGATGATAGAATGCCAACATATTGCTGAAAAAACCCACACTTCAGAGGCAGTACTTGTTTTGGAGTGAGCAAGTGTCCATCAGCAGGAAATGAAGCCCTCCCGAAAGGAATATACGGAGGATGTGCGTGTTTACGTTCACACTCTCACATGCACTTAGATATCCCATTCGGTCACGCTGCCTCTCAAGCACACGACACAGACACGCATGTATATACACACACACACACACACACACGTCAGTTATCCTCCAACTGCAGGCAGGGCGGCAAATCATCATCTCTCCATTGTAAAATTATTTGAGGGTACCGTTGCAATCAAAAAAGGCATGTTTTTTCTTATCTTATTTGCAAAAAAAATTCAGTTTCCCTCTGTTATGTGTGTGCCGCTGTCTGCAGGAGGCAGAGAGGGCGATCCAGTGTTTGAATGGGAAGCTAGCTCTGTCGAAGAAGCTGGTGGTGCGCTGGGCGCACGCACAGGTGAGGGTAAGTAACATACGTCCGTGCATGAGGAAGAGCTCATTGATGACTTTCCGCAAACAGAAATATAGCTGCAAATAATTTCGATTTTATGAATACATTTTAAGTTGAAGGTCATGCTTGATCGCTGAGTGTCCGTCTGAGCTGTTGCAAAACATCACGAGTGTCGTTTAGTTTCCAATATCACGCTGCTGCTGCAGTGGTTAGATCATGGAGAGCAGATCCCAGCACAACCTATGCCTGTCTCTTAACAATGGACCGCCTACTGGCAATGGGTGAAGGGATATCCTGCATCGAGGCGAATCACGCCCTACACACACACACAGACAGCCGAGGGCGGTCAAGGTCGTTGCTGCCGCTACCAAGACAACACGACTAGGCTAAATCCACCACCAACCAAAAATAACTTTGGTTATTTATACCATTTAAAGTTGTTCTCATCTTTATATCTCTCATCTTTATATCTTTATATCTTAAAATGAGTCGTTCTGTCTCATCAGGTGACTCAAAAGTAAACACGTTAATACTACTTTACTCGCCGTGTCCGTCGTCTCCACCTTCATGGCCCACCTTCCAGTGCCCTCCTATCATTTATCCTACCAATGCTTCAACAAATGTAATACCTGACTAACACTGCGAGGGTCTGGTGTCCACCGTCCTCAGTGAGAGGACGTTTTGCTCCATTACTGAGCTACGGCACAATTAATGCAAGGGTTCAAATGTGAAAAATATATATTTTTGTATTTCTTTCAAATTTGTCCTTGTGGTGTAATCCTTCTGTTCTCCAAGATATAAAAACATAATTTTCCAGTGCACTTATTATTAATCAAGTAGGATTTGAGCATCTCTCTGCCAATCTATATATACCATTCTCAGGTGCGGACGGATGTGATGCGTATATTCCCAGGACAGATTTGACGCGCTGGGGTGAATGAGTCAGAGACAGTCAGCCTTAGAAGTCGTTGTCTCATTTCCAGACTACATCTTGACTTTATTACACGGTTTTAAAAAAGGGGAAGTACATGTCGATGAACGTTTATTGAAATGTTGCCGCAAACTCTTCAAAAACATTCATGGCTTTCCAAATCTGCTTCTTTTTTCCCCCCCCAACAGTTCAACATTATTTCTGTATGTAGCCAAGGTGCGTGTTCGGCATCATAAGTAACATTCCTTTGACTGCATCCACAGGGAACTTACTTCCATCCTTATCGAAGCAGCTGGGTGCTCATTGTAGGCTATTTCAAGCCAGAAGTGCAACTACCTTGAGTAACTGGAACATTTTGACTTTTATTTTATTGCTCCACGCTGGATTTATGAACAGAGTGGGTATGGCTATGTGCTGGATGTGCACTGGAGATCTACATGCATTCCAGCTACACGGGTTAAGGAATAGGTGGAAGGGAAGGGTCCTGGCTGCTGCAATGGGCATTGTTTTAGACCTATTCTTGGCTGCGCATGTTGTGTATTTCTCAGTATGTATGACAGTATGTGAGACCTTGTTTGTGCGTTCATGTAACTTGTTTCAGTCCTGCTTCCAGTTTACCCATGCTCCATCATCTGATTTGTTCCTTTTTGTTTTTTCTGTCTCTTCTTCTTTGCAGGTTTCAAGAATTCTGTGTTGGCTGTGAGATGTTTGTAAGACTGTTTTTTTTTTTAGTTGAAAGCAATGACTTCAGCCGCTCCCTCCCATTTTCTCCACATGCCTTAAGGTGTGATCACACTCCTGCTCGGTTACCGTCTGTTTGAGTAAAACCAAACGTACCAATACGTCAGGTTCACAACGTTGGTTCTTTGTGGCAGGAAGCTGGACTCGGCTCCCCAGACGACCGCTGTCAGCGTTTATTCGGTCTGATAGTTTCACACGGGACATTTCTTCTTATTCTCCGTCGGCTACTCTTTCTCCTCATGTCTCGTTCCAACACAGCCACTGAAATGTTTCCTAAATGTAGTTGAGACTGTACCCGAAAGGAGCCGAGAACACGTGGCTGTCTCCTCCCTTTGACAGTATCGTTTTGAATTTGACACAAGCCCGAGTCTAGTAAGGCACACATGATGCACTATGCACACAACGTGCACTAAGCACACGTGATGCACTATGCACACAACGTGCACTAAGCACACAACATGCACTAAGCACACATAATGCACACAACGTGCACTGAGCACACAACATGCACTAAGCACACATAATGCACACAACGTGCACTGAGCACACAACATGCACTGAGCACACATTTTTTTAGGAGGTTAAGGTGCGACCATCCAAGTTTCTCTGTCTTTGCACGCTTCCACCATTTTTTATTTATTTTTTACCCCTCGTTGTCTCTCTCCGTCTGTCCGTCCACACTCGTTTCCATCACTGTTTGTGTGGCTGATTTTTTGGGGGGTTTGGCCGCGTGTCTCGTCTGCAGAGGTTTGAAGGTTTTCGCAATGACAAATCGATGCCTCCGAGCCTGGAACCGTCGAGCAGCGGGGGAGCAGAGGATGGAGCCGTGACCTCCAACCACCTCAGGTCGGTACAGCAAAGCCACGCTGCAGCCCCCTCATCACTACGCGTTGCTGTTCTGACCCTTTTTAGTCCAGTTGTTCTAACATGTTGTACTACGTTCACGTACACAAACACACTTTTTAAGCACGTCAGGCCTATAGAGCACGAAGGCATGTCAAGAGGAGGCAATCGAGTGGGTAGCAAGTTATCAGCTGTCAGCGTTCAGCCAAGTCTCCACACTTCAGTTCTAGTGAAATCTCCAAAAAGAGGCGATGCACTTGCACCTTCAAATCCAGTTTAAATGCAAGTTTTCCTCTGCTCTTTATGCAGCACAAATGGTCTCTCTTACTTTTTTTTTTTTTTCCTCCTCCCGCATCTGTCCCTCCCATTACAAAGAGTGCTAATATCGCCTCTACTTTTCCCCCTCAGCCAAGGGCTAAGATCTGTCCCATCACTCAGTTCGCACACTCAGCACCAGCACTAGTATTTCCTCCTCAGCCTCGCGCGCTAACATCTCCTCTTTTTATTTCCCCCTCCTGCCTCTAGCACGAGTGCTAAAATCCGCGCCATCGAGGCCAAGCTCCAGATGATGGAGGAGAACCCGGAGGACGACTACTCGGGCCCGTCGGCCTACGTTTACAACAAGCCGCCAGAGAGGAAGCGCTGGGAGCCTTACTCCAAATCACACCACAACAACCAGAGCAGGCCCTTCCGCAGGTTTAGGAGATGACCCATCATCCAACTCATTCTGGAGAGCCCCCCCCTTCCACCTACACACAAACAGACTCTACACAGGATACTTTAAAGACTATACACATCTGGGATTCAAAGGTTTTGACAATGCTTTCAGAGACCCGACTCTTTGCGAGTACAGCAATCACGGACAAATACCTCAGTTATTTTGGTTTTATGGTTGTCTGTTATTATTTAGTTATAACATATGGCACATACTTGACCGATGTGCAGGTTGGAACCCTTTTGTGTCTGCCTTCTCACTTTTGCAGAGATGTAATATAGGTGGAACAGCTGTCAGTCACATGATGCACAGCTGCAGGGAAAAGAGAAAGGCTGTTATTAAAGAGTCTGGATGCCCATCCTCTTATTGTTGATATTATTCAAAGGTGAACTTCACTGAAGAGGATGAAACACACCGATTCATAACTTTTTTGTATTAATGGAGTTAAACTTACCTCCCCTTTCAATTTTGATATGTCTGCTGTCGATGTTTTTACTGGCTTTATTTGTGTTGTGTGGAGTTTTGGGTATTTACCATGCCACCATCTCATTATTTTAGTTTCACAATTAAAGACAACGAAATGTCAAATGCGCGGCATGTTTTATGCAATTTTCTAGGTTTCCTGCGTTGCTCGTAAAATGAAGGCTTTGTTGGAAGCGTCAGAATACTCTGGCCCACGCTGTAAAGCCGATTGTTTCACAATACGTTTGGTAAATCATCTGCAGAACATTGAGGGGAGACGCCACTAATTAAACCTATTAATCCACCATTGGTTAAGAAATGCAGTCCTGAATTATAACAGATTTTCAGGTGTAACAGAGACTAGCACCGTTCTTACTTCTAAAAGTCCAAATGTTTTCTGTAATAACTGTTCCTCCCATTTACTATAACATGCAATGTGTTTCCAACCCCAGTAATATTTTATTTCCCCCAGATTGACTGTTTTTTCATATTTTTTTCTGAAGTCTACCAAAATTTGCCAAAAGTAATTTTAATAGTTTGCAGGCCTTTTGCCTATATGGGTTTAAAGTGGAAGCAAAAATCTTAACATTTGGATTGACTTCTCTGAAGCACTACTGTAATTTGTTTTCCTGCAGGTGAGATAATAAAAGGCAAAAAGAAGAACAGATTTTTTTTTAAATTAAATTTCACCCTGAATGAGTTGGCATTGAGAACAAATTTTCCCGTTGAAGGTTCTCTCCAGAATTGAAGTTGTAGAAGTCCTGGAGATGACGTTGCAGCATGCAGGAGATCGGTGGACTTGATTGTACAAGACGAGACAAGAAGCAGGGGAGCAGAATTGTGTGCGCACGGAACCAATCAGATCCTACCTCTTGACATCTGTCAGCAGTTCTTTAAAATGTCTTCGTTATTGTAAAAGCAATATTTCTGATGGCCATTAGAAGAGTTTGATGTTTTCTTTCAAATGTGCGTATTTATCTGTTTTAAAATTAAAAGGTCGATTCGTGCAAATGTATTTTTTTTACTTTATTAAGAATTGCAAATGCATTTCAAGGTTCTTAATTATTATCTTAGGTCCGGATTATTTTGATGGATTTCTGAACAATATATTTTCTTTTCATTTCTAGATCTTTGGGATCGATGATCCCTTTCGCTAAAGGACTCGTTGAGTTGTTGTTTTCTCTTTCAATGATTTAGCAATATGTCAAATTCACAATTCGTCTGTTTCGGGGTAATTTAGTTTGTCTCAATAAAGTCAAAGCTATCTGGTTTTTAAATGTTTGACTACGTAAATTATATATAAATCCAAAATATGTGGTTATTCTTATAGTTTTTATGCCGTGTAAATTATTGTCGTCTATACATCCACATTTACACAATATACGCATTTCAAATATATTTGAATGAATATACTGAACGTGTTTTTTAATTTTATATAACAATAAAAAAGGAAAGTTTTAAATGACGAAGATGAGAACGAGCAGATAATATATGATTACACCATCGATGGATTCAATCGCTTTTGTCACAACATCCCTAGTTTCATCGTGCCTACTTGGTTGTTTATTGTGAGGCAAATAAACGGCAATGAAATCACATTTTGGATGGGATTTTTTTTTTCAATGTTCTGACAGCAGAAGCTCGGTTTCTGTCACAACTTCTTCCAAAGTGTGTCCACTCTTCTCACGCACGTGGAACTCTTCCTTCACCCCCCCTTCTCTAAATCCCCCCAGAACCACGCTAGTGAGTGGCGCAAACCCTCTGCGGAGGCGCTCTGCTTCTCCGTCAGCCTCCGCACCTTTATGAAGCCTTGGAGTAAAAGCTGCCAGCCCCTCAATTTGATTCACTTCCTGTAGTCGGACTCCTTCCCTTAAAGTGGGAGAGAGAGAGGGGGGTGGGGGTAGGGGGGGGTAACAACTCTTTCTGTTCTAAATAAGGCTCTCCGAGGAGCAGCGAGCAAGTCTTCGCCTCTGCTGAGCTTCAATAGTCCTGCAGCTCGTGTCGGGATCGATCGGAGAGGAACAGAGAGAGAGGGGGAGACATAGCGGGAGCATTTCTGCGCTAAAAACAAAGCCGTGCGCCAGTTACGCTACGAGTCCACGCACGGCACGGATGGTACAAGTTTTTGACGCCCATCGGCCAAGTCTCCCGATTCCACGCGCCGAGTTTGGACTCACTGAACGCTGTGAGACTCCAGGGCTTCATGTACTGGAAAAATGAAGTTTTGTCCCCTCTTTCTGAGGGAAACAATATTCTGTCCGAAGGAATTCCCACGAAGAAGGTACACTGACACTTTGGAATCGGCTGAACTTCAACTCGCGTGCGTAAAAAAAAAAAAAAAAAAGGTTCAAATTGGAGAGGTGTCCCCGCTCACGCACCGCGCGGGCCTTCAGCTGAATGAGTTTAAAGTGTCACGACGCAGCGCAAACGTTATCTGGTGTAACGACGCAACACGCGCGTGGCCCTCAATGTGATTTACCCAACTGTTTAATCTCCTTTCGCTGCGCGCTCAGCGGGTCCATCTGCCGAGAAAGAAGAAGGTTCGACGCGCCGTTTATTTGCTCGCGATTTGGTTTTTGTTTTTCTGTCTGCGTGATGTCACCAGAATCCCTTAGCTTGTGTCCCGAGGATCAGCTGCACGCGCCAGCCGCCGTGAAGAGGCACGCGCCTCTCTGTTATGAATAGCGTGATTTGCGGTCCGCGAGCCTCTCGAGCCAGTTCGCCCGAGAAGAATTAGATTTTAATTACAGCCATTAAAAATCAAATTTGCAATTCTTTGGGGTGACCCGCTGCCTCGCTCTGATTGACAGCTGAAATTGACACTCCGGGTCCCTCTTATCCATATAGCGGTAATTACAGGTAGTCCCCCCCCCCCACCCCCCCACACCCCGATTATCCTCCCCCACAAGGCCCAACCTACCTTCTCGTTGTCTGGATTGCGGAGACACATCTATTATTCCGAGTGGCGCGAGTTAAGGGCAGAGAGAGAGATAGACACCTACTCCCAATTGGAATAGCTTCATTAAAAAAAGTGCGGAAAATCGGCTTTTTTTCGCGGAGGCCTCTCTTTGTTATCGGGTATATCCACTTTATATATTGAGCAGGCTGGAAGAGCTGTCTTCGAAATGTCCTCTCGGGGGCCTGGCATCCGAGGATGAGACGGGAGAAGGGATTATAACCCTGCCGATTACTGAGCAGTGTCTTGTAGGTGATCTCCACCGAGCACCAGAGTGCCACGGGAGACCTCACCCCTCCAGTGTGGACTCTAAACGCGCTCCAATGGTGAGAGACTTTTAAATTTTTTTAATTTTTTAGCAAATGCATTGCATGCCGCTTTTCACGTCTAGCTGATGTAGTGCGTCCATCGCATCTGTGCAAGGGGGGCTGTGGTGCGTGTGCGAGTTATGTGCACGCCGCTGCACAGGCGGCGTCTGGCCCCTGTGGGGGATTACTCTGCTGATGCTCCCCTCTCTTGACGCAGTCTCACTCGGACGGAGAATCCCAGCGGTCCAACATGGAGCCGGAGGACACTCGCTCGTCCCCCAGCACTCCGTCCACCCCCTCCGTGTGCTCGCCGATCTCCACCAGCAGCTCGGTGCCGTCAACCGGGAAGAACGTGTGCGCCAGCTGCGGGCAGGAGATCGTGGACAGATACTTGCTGAAGGTGAGAAGCTGCGTGAATCAGGATCGAAGTGACCTCGGTCAGAGTTTAGGGACTATTTGCTTCTGGGGGTGTAGGATTTATTTGTTTAGCCTTTTTCTCCCTCGCTGGCAGATCACGTTAACAGCAAGTGACTTGTCTCTACAAGACGCGCAGCAGCGGGTGAAGAGGGGGTGCCATGTTGACTGGGGTCCTGTTTTGGGTTTGGACAGGCCTGCTGTGTTACGCTGGTGCAGCGGAATGAACGGGAGGCCCGGGCAACTTTTAGTGGTTGCAACCCAGGCACATATACATTATAGGAATAAGAGAGAAACAACACCCATAATTATATTTATAGCCTATATATGTGCGTATCGAACCACTGTTCGTCTGCGGAAATATCTTGTTATAAATCATTTTATGATCATTTGTTTGTAAAATGAACATCCGTTTTGGTTGATTCTAAACCTGCATCTGTTTATCTGCAAGGTGACTTGGGCATCAAGATAAAGTGCAGATAGGATACACAGCGAGGATGTTTTCATTTGTTTCCCTCTTTCACAGCTCCACTGTCAATACGCCCTGACTGGTCGCGTGCGCCCGCTTGCTCATACCCAAAACAGACCTCCCCCGCGCGCAAATGGGTGTGTTTGTCAGGAAGTGCAGATTGACTTTTATTGTTATGTCAAAGACTTTCAAATGTTAAAAAAATAGACAATTATAAAAATTATTTCCCTGTAAACAAACACACATCATAATTCAATAATTGAATAAATTAATATGAGACATTAAAAAATATATTTTGTGCAGTATTTTATTTGATCTAAGATTAATTATTTCATTTCATTTTCACTCCTTTTCTTGTGTAAATGTTCGTGCTTATATTTATTTGTGCGACTTGCATATTTCCCACTGGCTGATTCTATAACGTGATGATAAGGGCCATTTTTTATTTAAATATTCCTAAACTGCTTATGAAAATCCATTTTTAGGTAAAGTTGCTATAATAAAAATACTTGTTGAAATGAATATGATTGCATTTAGATTGTAATTTATCTGACAGCTTATTCTAGGCCGGCCTCATGACCTATCCCTAAAAAATAATTGGGTTTATTTGGATAGTAATATTTGGAATATTAGTATTAAGCAGTGGATGTTTTGATATCTGTAACATTTTAAAATGATTCTAATAATTTTCGAACCGTCAGTAAAAATGGGTCAACTGTTTTCATCGCCTGGCAATTGAATTGGACTTATTTATTTTGATAACATTCTATCATAATTGCTGTTGAACGAAATGTTAGCTAAGACCTCCACAGGGGTTTAATATTTCTGTTAAGAATTGATGCAATTGATATCATTTTAGAGGCTAAATATTTCATTTCTAAACCAAACGAGGTCTTATTACGAAACCCACAAAATTAAGCGTCAAAAAGATGAATTATAATATGCCAATCCCACGATAAACTCCTTATTGACCATCACAAGATTTACAATTTCCATATTAATAATAATTATTCATATTTTTAAGTAAGAATGTTATGAAATATTACGAGGCGACATCAGTCGATCAATCGGGAATCGGTCTGTAAATTAATGTAGTCATTTATGACCCTCAGCAGCACCACACACACACACACACACACACACACACACACACACACACACACACACACACACACACACACACACACACACACACACACCGAGGGGGCATTTTAATGCAGTAATCCATCATCAGTTTGACACGGATTCTGTCGCGTTTTGCAGGTGAACAACCTGATCTGGCACCTGCGCTGTCTGGAGTGTTCCGTCTGCAGGACGTCGCTACGTCAGCACAGCAGCTGCTACATCAAAAACAAAGAGATCTTCTGCAAAATGGATTATTTCAGGTAGGGTAAGTTTATGACCGTGTTTTCAAAATAGCACGTCTGCTTTCTGTCTCTCTCTCTGTCTCTCTCTCTCTCTGTCTCTCCCTCTTTCTCTTTGAGATGGATGCGGGTGTCCTTATCTGTTCTTTTAAATACCTTTTGTAAAAACGTCTCAAAGTGTGTAACCAAACAGTTGAGTGAGGCGATCCGCATTTTTATTATGGCTACCCAAAACATAACATTTTGCACAAATGTATGTTGGAACGGAGCAGGCTGGAATATTTGAGCTTTACAGGCCGTTAATGCACCACGTGCCGGGAAGCGTGTTATCACGTCGGGAGGAACGTGTGCAAAACAAACCCAGATCACCGGAAATGCCCGTTTGAACCGGCAGCTGTCCGACTTTACTCATAAAACACAGAGGAAAAATCCCAAATGATATTCTAATTCTGTACATTGATACGGTGCCTCATCATCCACACATTGTGAAAAAGGAAGTATATGTCCTAATGAAATATATCACATCCGTATATTCATTTTCAAAGGACCAAACAAAGCTACATTTAAATGAAATCACAACATTATTATTAATAGTAATAATACTAATGATAATTCAGACTCAAGTTAAATACATTTTGCTTTTTTGCTGCATGGTTTTTGCTTGACATTTCCTTTTATTTGAATGTAAGATTTTATGGAGGTGCCGTAAATAAACAAATGGAGATACTGTGACACAGCCTACGAATGCACACATGCAGGGTGAAATTCAGAGAGAGGGACGGAGACAAACATATAGACTGCATTCATTTATTGTAATTTAAAGATACACTTCACATCAGTTTCATTCATTCAATACATTTGAGTTCATTTGATTCACTTCGACCAAAGTGTGTGTGTATTCTACCTTTTGTGTGTGTGTGTGTATGTGTGTGTGGTACCTGAGGTGAAATGGGGTTCAGCAACAGTGTATAGTAGAAATTCTTTGCTGTAGCCTGAAGCTGGTGGATATGTAGTATGGAAACGCATGCACATCAGTTGTGTGTGTGCACATGTGTGACTGCTTGGAGCTGTGTGTGAGCTTTGGTGTTTGTCTGATCGAAACCCGACACCAAGCCCCCGCTCTGAGGTTTATAATCACCAGCAATTAGTCTTCCTCCAGCCTAGACCCTTAGGCCTCCAGACCAGCAATTAGACCGCCCCGAGTGCCTGGTCAGCACGATTCTGTCCTGAATGTAACTCCTATCCAAAGTAAAACACACACACACACACACACACACACACACACACACACATACAAACATAAAACAAATATGTGAACACACGCCTAAATATGAAGAACCATGAATATGAAACGTTTACATATCTCAAGAAACTGTACACATTGCCTCCATTTACAACGCTGAAGACCGCACTTCCATACTGAAACAGCCACACACACACACACACACACACACACACACACACACACACACACACACACACACACATATACATTCACTCCAAAACACACACCAAAATCTTGGTTTATTTATACATGTCCAGCAGCTGCCAATCATTTTGCTAATTTCTTTCGCAAAATTGAGTTTTTTGTGTTTGCTCTAGTAATTCCTAATAATATTTTACCTGACCCGTCCTCATCTGAATACTCTTTCGCCGTTTACTCCTTCTGCCCTCAACACAGCTCACTGGAGCCTGAGCCGGTATTCAACCCGAAGAGACGGTTTTAAATATTTCAGATCTTTAGAAAACAGAACTGAGAGGTGCAGGTGTAGATAAGTTAGACACTCTCATTATAAGGAATACAGTTATTGTGATTGAAAAGCATGCCTTGATATGAGCGATGTGTTCACAGTCGACCCAACAAGGAGTTTAACCATGCGACAGTTGTGGAGTGCAGCTTTTGAGGTCTTTATCATCCATTAATATTTTTTGCTTTTGCCTGTAATCACTGCGGAGAATCAAGATGGAGAAGAAAAAAAAGGCTGAATCTTGTCGGCCTTGCTTAGCGGATGAGCCAACGACTCCAGCCAAATTAATTTAGTGCTGTTAAGCTACATTCAAGTCAAATTTATTTAAGAGGGTTTTGTTCGAATAGACGAGAAAACTAAGAACGTGATTAGTTTTCGGACGCTGTGGGTGTAAATCGAGTTTTTTAGTTGCCTTGGAACTTCAAATCCTTTTTTTACTCTGTGTGCTCTCTGGCGTTTGCACAGCAGTGTAGCCGTTTAGATAGATAGATACTTTATTGATCCCTCAAGAGGGAAATTTCAAAGACTTTCAATAAATGCGTAGCCCAGAGTAACCGTTTCATATATCAACAAGGAAGATCATAGCTAATGATTTAATTGCCTCAATAATACTGCAAGGCCAAACTGCTACAAATTTAGCCTATTCTACTAACTATGGCTACAATCTCTGGAGAACCATCCTCATTTGCATAATAACATTTGTAGGTTTAGAGATGATTTATAAAATCTTGCAGCAACAGTAAAGCTCTGCTGCGGAGTCTGGGCCTACGATGCTTGCCTCTGTAAATATAAACTGTAATCTGGGTTCAGGCCACATTCATATAGGCTAAACACCGCAGTGGGTCCAGATCCTCTGGGCTGAGTTCAAACCTCTGGAGATATTTCCTCATCTGTGTCAGCCTCTCATCTGGCTTTGGACTGACAGCTGCTTTAATGGGGCGTAATAGCAGGAAATCAGAGTGGGTTTCCCTCCACATACGTGTGTGTGTGTGTGTGTGTGTGTGTGTGTGTGTGTGTGTGTGTGTGTGTGTATCTCGGGATAGGGGGCTCAGCACAGAGCCCATGCTGTGCCTCTCAAACCCATGTCAGGCCTCAGGGGCTTGTTCTTAAACACACACACACACACACACACACATACACACGAAAAAACATTTCTTTATCAGCCTCCTCCCTTGACCCCCCCCCCTTGCCTCCGTGAACCCCTCCCTCGCCTCTCTCTCTCTGCCCAGAAACATCATCCTCGTCCGTGAGCTGCAGGCCACACAGGAAGTTGCGCTGCTGCACTAATCAGGGGCACCCTGGGATACTGACAGTGTAACCAGAGTCCACGTAGGGAACTTTGTGGGTGTGCGTGGAAGGATACATGCGTATACGTGTGCATGTTGTAATAAGAATTATTCATCAACCCACCTCTGCTTTGCTGATTGGGTCTCCATAGCAACAAAGACGAGTAACCCAGAGCAGTGATTTGAGTTTTATTAAGAGCTGAATGAATTTAAATTATAATAGGACATCTGCCACACAATGCTTGGCATTTAAAGAAAGACAGTGAAAAGAAATGAAATATATTATCTATTTTGTAAAGCGAAGCACTGAGAAAACTGCCTTTGTTCACGGCTAAAGGGAATAAAAACGTTGAGTTTTTTTCTAATGCAGGCTTAATAGGGAAAAGCTCGGTAATGTTTAAAATCTGTTAAAAGCTGTTTTCTGTAAAGTATTCAGATATTCCCCATCTCAGGATTCCCATACAAAGGCCTAACAGGAACCTCACGTCCTAAAACCGCAATAACTCTCTCAGGACAAATCTAATAGAGATTATGTTCTCATAGCACATCAGAAAATAATCCCCAAACACGTGTACCTCCTCAAGCTGCTCTCTCAGCAGCAGGTGATTTACTGTAAAACAAAGGGTTAAGATAAAGGCGAAAGAAGGGGAGCTAATAAGAGAAGTCCGGTGGTAACGGCAGTTCTGCTGTGATTATCCCTTTTGTGAGTGATGCAGAAGGCTGTGGGGGGGGCAAGAGGGGGCATGAGGATTGACATTGCTCCAAAATAAACACCAGGTTTTTGGTACAGAGACCAAACGACACACATACACACAAGAAAAAAACGGGAAAAAGACAGAGGTGGTGGGAGGGGGGGGGGGGGGGGGGGGTCCCCAGGGGGGGGAAAAAGGAGAAAAAGAAAGAGGCTAAAAACATGGGGGTTTTTCAGCCTTTTTTGGGGTTGCCCCCGAAAATTAAAAAAAACGCCTTGTCAGGGGATTTAACTAAAAATCGCCCCAAAGTTTTGCTCTTTTATTGTAGAAACAGTCAAGAATTCTCCACACACACACACACACGCACACACACACACACACACACACACACACACACACACACACACACACACACAGTCAGCACTGGAGTTGATTTGTCTCCCGAATGGCTTTATTGGGTTGTAAGAGGTTTGTTGGTTAAGTTCCACGTAGATGTGACAACTTAAGCGCTGCGTAAGTGCTACACAGCTAATTGTTTTTCAAGGTCACCTCAAATACTCCCCGTCTCACAGCTCAGTTGCCGAATGGATTTTTTTTTTGTTGCAGTGAGGAACAGCAGGCCTGCTGCTGTAGACTCTGTTTTTGTATTCAGTCATTGTATTATTGCTGCTAAGGTAAGGAACCAATCTAGGAAGGCCAACAGATGGAGAGCGAGACAGTTGGATCCTCAAACAGGCATTTAACGATTACCTATAATCATTCTCCACCATAATACGAGCAGGAAAAAAAAACGTAACTTCTGGCCAACAAGCTCGTATACACGAGGAGTGGGTACGAGTTTGTGGCATGTCAGGGCTATAGCATGCTTTCATCCCAGATAGAGTGGACTCGAGTGCACTGATACGCTGCCAAACCCACTCACTTGGCAGCCCTTGTGCTCCCCGTGCCCCTGCTCGCTCGCTCGCTCTCTCTCTCGCCATCTACTTTGCTATTTCCCTCAGCCACTTACTTCCCCTCTCCATGTCTATCCTTTTCATCATGCCCCCACCCCTCTCCACCCCCCCCCAAGTTCTTGCCTCCGCCTTACCTTTCAACTATTGACAGCTCTTTTGAATCTGGCTCATGTTTGTGATGCTGCTCTTTGCGTTGTGCTCTTAGGCAGCGTGCGGATGAGACTAAGCAGCGGATACGTCATAATGTCGAGTCTGGCCCGTCAGCTCGTAACATCTGTGCCGCGGGCCTGTTTTTAGGACGCAAACCCGTCACTGTGTAAATGTTTCCTAATTTGAGCTGAGAACCAGTTAGCCGTTACGCTCCTTGTCCTCGGCCTTACCCCGGCGGCAGGGCCTTTCTCGCAGGCTGCTTACAAATCCTCCCTCCTTCAGCAGAATTTGGCAGCTGCTGACCCTGACAATGGCTCTTAACCTAACCATGACATCTCAAATGTAAAGCGTTTCATACCCATTAAGTCCACAATGTGTTCCTAAATGAGGGGCTTAATGTCTTCTGATTGGGGTGTAAAACAGGAAATGTTTATAATATTTCTGTGGATTTTTTTGTGGGGGATGCTCTTCGGTGCCAGCTGCTCACTACACACAATCTCAGTTAAAGGAGAATAGTGGTATTCCACACTTGGTATTTTTCACCAAATCCCATTAAAAGACCAAACTAAATTTCTCTCTCCTGCCGACTAACTATTAAAAACATAATAAAGCCCCTGTTTTTTTTTTCCTGTTACTGTGAAAATTTGCCACAACACCAAACGTGTAGTAATCCGCAGCTAAAAAAGGTCCCCATCAAATGCATTGTTCAGTGTTTTCTTATTTAAAAAAATGAATAGAATGATGCCTTTGTGAGATTTACATCTTTGGAATGAGGCTGGAGGCCACAGACAAGTTAGTGAATTCACAAATGAGTGTCAGAGTTAAATGCACGCTCATCTGGAGAGATTATGAACGCTGGGGTAACAATGTTTACTATCCTCTTCCCCCCTTGTATCATTCTGTCCACGTGTTCGATGAGTTCCAATGAAAAGAGCATGCTTATTTTACACATTCATATCATGTTTTGAGCTCATTTAGGAATTGTCTTTAATCATTTACCACCTCTCTCTCTTTCCATAACCTGCCGTCCACTTATCACCCCCCCACCCATTCAGAACAGTAAGTCAGGTGGTTTAGGTTTATGTGGCGCCTGACCTCACTGTTGCTATCAGTTACAGCGGGGCGATCTAGAGTGATGTCATCCAAGTCTCTCTTCATCCTCCGCTATGTGTAAAACCGCCCCCCGGTTTACATGTGTGTTGCTTTGTTTCCCTGGTGTGTGTGTGTGCGCACATGTGTTCTTGTCAGGGCCTTCATGCATCATGCAGGAAATTGCAGGTGTTGGTTTGTTTGCATTCACGGCTCGGCTTGCAGCCGCAGTCGGGGGTCTTTTCTGGAGGCCACATCCTCCTCCAAGGTTTCTTCCTTAAACCCTTTGAGCTCTGCCCAAAACTTCAACAATAAAAACCCACATTTTTTAATTTGAGCCCTCTCAAAAAGACGAGGTCTCTGCATGTTTATTTCTTTATTTATGTCTAATACTGTGTGTGTGCAATCTTGGAATGCTTCCAAGATTAGATTTAAAAAGATGATCCCCCCCGCAGCAATTTTCCGCGCCAACATTTTGCTTTTACCCAATCAGCGATCCACTAATTCCTCGTTCTGTTTCTCCTCCTCTGCCTGTTCTCCCTTTCTCTCCCTCACAGTAGGTTCGGTACTAAGTGTGCCCGCTGTGGGCGGCAGATATACGCCAGCGACTGGGTGCGCCGCGCCAGGGGGAACGCGTACCACTTGGCGTGCTTTGCGTGCTACTCGTGCAAGAGGCAGTTGTCCACGGGAGAGGAGTTTGGCTTGGTGGAGGACAAGGTCCTGTGTAGGATCCACTACGACACCATGGTGGAGAACCTGAAACGAGCGGCTGAGAGCGGTGAGTGGGTTTCCCTGCAGCCGTCGAGGTGTTTGCTCAAGGGGCCGCCCATACTGGGAATTTCTTACAATATCTTATTCCTCGTATATCCTTGATGTGTATGTCTGGCCTGCTTCTCTTTGATTTCACGCTTGTCATGTTACAAAAGCTCAATAGGTCCCTTTGTGATATGGTGTCCAACACCTGTGGCTCAAGTACATCTCACAGGACGATCTCAGTCATTTAATGCTCATATTAAACACATTTGTCTGCTTTGGGTTTTTTTCAGGCAATGGTATCACGTTAGAAGGGGCAGTGCCAACAGAACAGGACAGTCAGCCCAAACCGTCTAAAAGGGCACGGACATCGTTCACTGCAGAACAGCTGCAGGTCAGACACGCCGCTCTCTGCCGTACCGATGCAAGGCAATGAATCTGAAGCCCTCTCAAATACACATCAACCCCAAATCCGACGTGTAACGTTCTCCGCAATCATGGGATTTCTGCAGCGTTTGATTTTGTGTCAATGTTTTCCCTCCATACGCAGATCATGCAAGCTCAGTTTGCCCAAGATAACAACCCAGATGCCCAGACGCTACAGAAACTAGCCGACATGACGGGCCTCAGCAGGAGAGTTATACAGGTCAGTGCAGACATATCCACTTTCTTCTTACTTACTAATTCATCTACTCACGTAATGGCCCGGTTGTATTGAAATAGCATAAACCAGCAACATGCAAACACCATATAATGACAAAAATAAGGAAACGTAAGATCACGTTTACTGTGAATAGACTATATATAAAATGTATTCATGTGCACATTCAGGACCAACAACATGATTCTTAAAATGTTACACTTGAAATAAATCAACCTGTTGTTTTTTAAGAATATAGCTACATGATGCCTGGTTACGTTGCGTCTTCATAGGTGTGGTTTCAAAACTGCAGAGCAAGACACAAAAAGCACACGCCTCAGCACAGCGGGGCTCCCCCAGGTCACCCGCAGTCCAGGATACCCTCGTCGCTGCCTGATGAGCTGCATTACTCCCCCTTCGGAAGTCCCGAGCGTGCGCGCATGGTGGCCCTTCACGGGTACATCGACAGTGAGTCGTGGTTTGTGCAGCGTGTAGTCAAACGAATGCTTTTAAAGCAGCAAGTCCTTTGTTTCACTATTTCACTGATTTCTTGTGTGCGTGCTCTCCAGGTCATCCCTTCTCCATGCTGACCTCCCAGAGTCTCCCTCACCAGGCCATGTCGTTGCCCCAGCTTCCCCTAAGCCGCTAGCGCTCCGCCACTACGACCCCACGTGACCCCACGTGACCCCCCCACCCTGCAAACCTCCGGATCCTCACCTTTCATCTTCATCACTGTCTGCAAACCTGACCCGGAGGTCCTGGTCCCATTGGAGCGCATGACGTGTCTTTACGGGAGCCCTGCCAAGGAAAGAGCAGTGGAGGAATGAGGAAAGACTAAGATGCATTCGTCATTCTGTTATTTTACTTTCTGAGGACAGGAATATCCCTGACTGTGTTTTACACCACGTTAAAGGACCCATTCGGCTTCATATGAACAGCTTTGTCCACTCTGCCAATCCGTCGTCACCGTGACAGAGGAAGTATGATGAAACTGACGGCTACAGGAGGGAAGCCCTCATGAGTGCTCAAGATAAACAAAGAGGGGAAAACTTATAAGGGGGGACTGTCATATTGGCTCAAAGGCCCGTCGCACGCTGTCGGCCACGTTAGAGGTAAGACTCATTCTCTCTCAGCAACCATGAAGGAAACATGTAAATGAAATAAATTGACTATTGGAATATTTTCTTTTGGATTGACAAAGTGACCATACGGCCTCTGAAAGACAGAAACGTCCTTGTTTTATTCTAGGTCAAAGATTTCACTGAAATGTGGTGCAGATTTAAATTTTTGTTTTTAAAGAATGAAATATTTTGTGCCTTATCGTTTCAATTATTAATTACGCTAAAACAGTACATTTTTTCAGCTGTAATTTGTCTCTGAACAAAGATTTGAGTGTTTTTAAGTTTCATACAATGTAGAAGGAATAATGAAGATTTTAAATGGGCCATCGGTAGAAAATCAGCATCTTCATTATTATTCACTCAATTATTGCTGTAATATTTAAAGCAAATCAATATAGGTAATCATGTTACATGACACAAAGGGAAGTCTTAGATGAGCATATTAGTCAAACTACAAAATCTGTTGCCAGTTACTCATATTTCCAAACAATTGTATTGTCATTAATTTATCATTTCTGATGTTGCTTGTTCACTCTGTATGCGTGTTCCTCTCGCACAAAGAGAGAAATGGAGTGTTGGTGTCTTGGTACAATATGGACAAAATGAAACAGACTGGGGTTGTACATAGTAAGGTGTGTGTGTGTGTGAGTGTGGGTGTGTGTGTGTGCGTGGCAGGGGTAGAAAGTGTCCATCTGTATTTTAGTGCCATGGCCATTGTGTGAAGAACAGGATCCAACAAGACCTCAATGTCCTTGTATTTATTGAGATGTTATTTCCCTGTAAAGCACTTTTTTTCCCCCTGAAATTGTTTTGTTTTGTTAAAAAACACGAAATGAAATTCAACAAAAAAGTTTATTTGATAGACTGTGCATCATAAGTGTTTTGTGTAATAAAATGCAATAAAATAGAATGTGATATTTCTGTGGTTTTTAATTATTTGTGGGGATAAATTAGGAAAGGATTTAGTTGTCTGTTATCATATTTTACCAAATATGACAGAGCAAAGAAAATTTAGCACCTAAATTACGCTTAACTGGACAGGAATTTTGCAAATAACAAACATGAATTTAAATAAATAAATGTTAAGCAATGTTGTAGCTGTTCCCACAACCGAAAAACATTTCTTCGATTGTGGGCATGTGTGCTTCCTCCTATTTCATGAATACATCAGTGTGTGTGCGTGTGTTTATTATTATTTATTTTTTATACATTTTTGTGATTGTGTATTTGCAGCGAAGCAAAAAGGCTGCATAATGGGACACATCCTGTTGGTGAAAATAACTGCTGCTTTTTAAAGACTCAACGTTTTCTTGATTTTCTTTACATCATCATGCTGCAGATGATTACATGTTAAAGAGAATGCATGACCATCACAGAGCGGAACTGTGGCCTTAACGTTGCCCGCTCATTGGCAATAATTATATTTCTTAATTTTGTTTTCAAGACAATGACCACATACTACACTCAAACACAACATTTAGTATCAAGTCATGACATTGCTCCTTTCATTGATGACCTGCGGCATGAAGACAAAATGTATATACCGACTGACTTAATATTAAGTCATTAAGTCAATATTAAGGCAGACTTAATATTAACAATGAATGTTTGCACTACTTACAACTTGACTCAAATCAACATCAAGCACATTTACATTTTTATTTATTTATTTGACCTTTATTTAACCAGGTAAAATCAATTGAGAACCAATTCTCATTTACAAAAATGGCTGAAGAGGCACAGTCCACACAAGTGACACGAACAGCACAGAATAATCAATTTATACTACAGACTCCATTTAAAACAAAGTCTAAAAATAACACAGTGTAGAGAGAAAGACAAATGCAGCTAAATACTATATATACAAGGAGGATTTTTTAAACGTAAATAATCACATCAATAAACATAACTTTCGTTTTCTTTTTTAAAAATTAATTATACATCTGAAACAAAACGAAACAAATCAAGACAGTTCCTGTGGTTTCGATATGCTACTCATATTTTTCATATAACTGTCCTCATCCCGAGCTTTCCGACAGGTCCGCACGATCCATTCATGTTCCGAGTCATCTGGTGGGAAAAAAAACTATTTCAATATGTTGATATTAATGCTTACAACAAATATAGAGAATATTTTTTTTTAAGTCTGACCCATGGCTAAATGTGAATAAAAATACAAACGACAGACTGGGGGGTAAAGGTAAAGCGTTTTATTGAGAAGACAAGAAGTCTGCATAATTAAACCACAGGTCATTTGGTGTCGCTCAAGTGCCATTCAAGTCTCGGCTAAATTCGTCAAATCAAGATAAGCCTGACAATTAAGAGAAAATAACTTCTCGCAACCACTTCAGACACCACTAAATCGTAAACCCCCCCCCTTCAAAAAAGTGGACGCCAATTTTTTTTAAACTGAAACGACTACCAGAGGAGCTGATAATAAACCAGTTTTCATTGTTAAAACTGAAACGAGTAGCTAATTGCGGGGGAAGTGAGCTTTCTCTGGAAGCGCACGCAGCTGCACGCACTTGAGCGGCGCGCGGGGCCTCAGCCTCCCCCCCCCTCCGCCCCTCCTCCCCCCCCCCGCCAGGTTCCACTGCACGCGGGGCTCCATTGTACCGGAGAAGCTGACACGTAGGACTTGGACTTGTTGTGTATATGAGAGGGGCGTCAACACCAACGGCCACTTCAAGTATAAAACCCTCTCCTTCGCTTTCTGCGGGTCCGTCTCTCCTTCGTACCTGTTCTGATCGGGGGGGGTGAGAGAGGGAGGGTGGGGGGGTCAATGGAAGGCGCCGGACACGCGGACAGCTGCGGCGCAAACACTCTTTTGTCCCGCGTTCGTTAGCGGCAGACTGTAATTATTGACGCCCGGAAATGAATCTGTACGTTTAGTCTGACCTCAATTAGCCGCAATGCACAACCTTCACTAACGATCATTTGATTGGGGGCATTTTCATATCTGCCCTCCGCGTTTATCTCCGGATTGATGTAATTGGTACCTCGATCGGGTTATTTGAGGCCACTGGTGGCTGGTTGTATTTGTTGGGCAATCTCCTACAAACTAAGGACAGTATGGGACATCTTTGTTCGTTACCTGTTTTCGCAAGTCAATGCATTTTATTTCTAGTTCTAATGACTTTTCATTTTTTCTGATAGGGGATATTGCAGTTAAAAAAATGCCAAATTGAGAGAAACGATGAACCTAAATCGTGTGCTCTCTGCACTGCTTTATTTGCGTCTGGACACAACGGGCTGCATGGACAACCTTTTTGCGACATACCCAGGCGGGGGAGTGTGGAAGCGATAATGGCACCTTGTTAACGCTCTGTTTATCTTAATCCTTAAAATACACTCCGAGGGAAAAGTGTTTCCTTCCAGCCTAATGGCTGCGAATTAACACGCAGACGCACAGACAGACACACTTAAGAAAACAAAAACCTGCGTTCTTCTAGCTAAGTGATTTGCATAAGGCGTGATTGCATTCTGCTGGATTATTATCCACACACAAAAAAACCTGAACCTGGGTCACTGACAGTGACACGGAGTCACGTCTGCATATATGGTGGGCTTTTTCAAGTTCGAAAGTCAAACCGAGTCGGACAGCTCATACAAACATTAAAATATATCTGTGTCCAAATCTACGCCACAGCTTTTTGTCTTCATGACATCACATAAAACAGCAGCGGTTTTCCTTTCTAGATTCCCATCTCCGTGAATATTAAACCATCTGTCACAGCTCACAGGATTAACATGTGACTCCTGTTTCATGGACATATATATTGTTTTGCTTCTCAAATTGAAAAAAATGGGGGGAGTTTCGGGAAAGGCGTGCGTGAGGATATGTTCCATTCCCTATCTGGCCTTGGCGGACTTTATCTGCTGGCGAAACACCTCAGCTGGACAAAGGGAGGCGCCGCGGCCTGGTCACCAGAGGTGTTTTCCTTGGCGGCGGAATGTTTTCTGAGTGGAGCTCTCTCTGTGCGGGCTTTCAAAGGGAAGCCGTTATTCCAGAAACAGGAAAGCGCTACAAACAACATGGCAACACATGGCCCCCCGCTGGAGGAGCCGCCGCCGCCTCCGCCTCCTCCTCCTGCACCCCTGCAACCGCCGACCGGTGCCAAGAGAGAACACACACAACCGACCGTGCGTGTGTGTGTTTGTAATAGCCGCTCAATGAGTACGTGGCGGAGGTTTGATTGTGCAGATGTGGCCTGTGTGTCTTTCCTCTCATTCTTTTTTAATGGCAGTTTCATGCATTTATGTTTTATATTCTACCTTCAAACTCGAGGAACAATCTTCATCAGCAATGCCAAAAATAGAGGGCAATTATAGGTGAAAAGAGGATGGAAATAGGTTTGTTGATGATGTGATTTGTGTTTCAGCTTTAACAGTAATCGTTTCATTGTGTGGAAATCTGTTGACTTCATTTAAGTCTTGCTGGTTGACTGTCGCACGATGAGGCGGTCTTATGTCACAATGAACGACAGTTCTTAGAAACACTCAATCAAATCATACTTCAAATCTCAATTATTGACCCCCCCCCCTCCCCGTCCCTCCCCAGTCAGGAACAAAGTCTGTGATCCATGAATGTTAACCTTTCACCACCTGCATTCACTCATCGGTGACACACACTTATACCGCAAAGTCACACACACACACAGACACACTCAGACTTTCCTTTCTTTCCATCTTGTGTGAATTGTAGAAGGTGTCAGACTCTTCGCCCACAATACGTCTATCATTTGAACCAGGCAGAAGATGCAAACCCAGGTGCACCTTGGAATTCTAGATATGAAATAAATCACAATACTTAAAACACACAGACATTTGTTAACAAAGAATGTAACGCACTATGAGACAAATCTTTTTTTTCCCCCCAATTAAAAAAATATGATCTTCTGTGTCTTCTATAATAAACAGAGGACTGGTAGAAAAGAGTCCGTTTGGTCAACGCCCAGTGACAATTCTAATCAGTGTAAATGCTTCCTGTTCTTTGCCCAAAACCAATAAGGAAAGAGAAGCACGTTGGATTTTAAAGTGCTGAACAAGCCAGAAAGACAGTCAACCATCCCGCCTTTGTTGGTGTGGTTGAAGTTACATTTGAACATGTGGGAGAAGGGGGAGAAAGTAACTCATTTTACTAAGCAATGTAAAAACCTGCACCAGTGTGCAGCATTGGATGTGTTTCAGTGATCAAATGTTTGAACTCATCTCATACTGGAGGTTCCTAACAATCACAAATGCCACCACGACTCCATCACCGCCCTCCATTTCCTCCACCGTTTCTCCACCGGTCTGTAGTATTCTCGGCACTTTGCTCCATACAACAAGAAATCGGTTCAACTCCAAGTTCAACCTTTGGGGGAATATCAGCAACAGATCCTGTTGTTTTGCTACCTGGCTCTGTGCCAAGGATGCCTGTTTGTCCGAGTTAGCAACGGTAACTAAGGAGGGCAGGACTTTCGCAGAAGGTCAAGTTTAGACTGATATGTCCTGGCAACGGCGTTAGCAACAGACCGCTGCAGTCTAAACTGGATGCGAGGCCTCCGTGTCCCACATCCACCAGTTGTACCGGCTACGTGGGGAGCTCCTTCCTCCCCCCCCGCAGCCGCCAAAGTCCCATCTGGGAGGGCGGGTCTTCCCTGCGTCCCAGCGTCCCTGCAGCCCTCATCCCGGGCGGAAGCCATGAGGCAATGAATTCTATCTTCACACCCACTCTGACCGACGGGCCTTCACCTCCCGGGGGTTGGGACATAAATCCATGCAGGATACAGGAGCATTCTTCTCAAGAATTCCACACCAGGACAAGACATATGGCTGTGTATGGGGTATGCAATGTCAGCCACATGTACACAACATTCAACAGCCACACAACCATTGGCCAGTTAAATCAATCCCGTTGGACTCCATATTTATTTTAAAAAGGAGGTCCGGCTCTTTTTCATCCCTTCTTGCCCCAAATATCTCCTCTTGTCTCCCTTTCCCTCCGTCACTCCACTGATCAATACCAGAGCTGCAAAGATGGTGAACAACCAGCATCGTGGAAACATCACAAAATATATTTTTGTCTTCTGCCGAAGATGCAGATCTTCTCCTCTATTTCCTTCTCTCTCTTTCCACATATTTTAATGAGATATATTTGTGGGTAAAACAAATCTGCATTGCAAGTAGCTCATCTGAACACAGATGATCTGCTCAGGTGTCTGTCACCTCTGGAAGCTTGTGGCGCTTAACTTCTGCCAGGAATGATATCAGGACACATTTCTGCATTTATTAGGTTCAAAACAATACAAATCATCAGATGAGGATCCAGACATTGATGCGGCACTTTGTCTGATTGCTTCAAAGATGACAAAAACAGCATGCGTCACATAGGAAGGGGAATGTCAAACACCTTAAATACACAGCGATACAACTGGAATAAACCATAGCGAGCCAAAACATATCTATTTAGAGTGTAATTCATAACCCGCTGCCTAATGCACAACATTGTCCAGTGATGTAAAATTACAGGAGACATGACGAGCAGAGGACGTCAGAATTAGGGAATTCCTGTCTGGACACCTGACAGATCACATTCACTTCAAATCAGGAGCCCAAGAACTGGGCACTCGTTCAGTGGAAAAATGTGCTTTGAATTTTCCACTTTTGACAAATAACAAACGGGGGGGGGGGGAGCAGGGCTTGCAATAGCACAAGGAAGGATGCTTATCAGATGGCTTGTAGCAATAATCTTACATCAGAGAACCCAGGGATAATCCATTTAGCATCACTCCGTAGGTTCATTGCTATCAAATCTTTCACATATGGCAATATGCTTTCAGAGATGCAGTTATTAAAGAAATGATAAAAGACAAAGCGTTCTTCCTGGGACAAATACAAGATTAGTTGCATGTTTCTGAATATTTTCATTCTGCTCGTTCTTGTGCCGGGTGGAGTTGTTGCAAAGTTTTACACAGAGTTACTATCTTGTTTGACAAGGCAGCAACAAAAGCTCCCTCAGTACTTATTCAGCTGATGGCTTTTCACTCACGAGTCGTACCAATGTTTCGGCCTAAGCTGGCATTACTTTCTTTGAATAGCTCATATATCAAACTATGAGTTTGGCATTTACATGAGGATCATACACAAAGCCCACTGATTCCAGGTATGCTATGATAACGGATGGGCAAACAACCACAACGCATTACAAAGTTTATACTCTGTCCTGGAGTCTTATGCCTGAAATAAACCATTAGCTTGACCATAGGTGCGTTGGACAGCACACACTGAAGCAGACTCTGGAAACATACCGGACTGTTGCGCTTCCCTCTTAAATTACTATAAAAACATGTTTAATATACAGCAATCTATCACTGACAAGGGGCTTTATTGGACATTAAACCCTGTGTACTTAATCTAAATTGGAAATTTCTGCTGCTTTTGACTTTCATCTTTCTAATTTTCTTTGGCACGAGATGACTGGATGTTACTCAACGCTCAGATGGAGACAATCTGGCCTCAAATTAATTTGAGGGGGAAAAAGTGCAGGAACTACAGCAATGTAAGCCATGAGAAATGGAGGTAAATGAATTATTTGATATAACAAAACACGAGTTTCATATCTGGATTATGGTATTATTGTTAACCTAACGGTAAGCACGTTGTTCACACACCATGGCCGGGTCGGAGGGTCTCCATTAATTAGCAGCGAAGGATTGGCTTTATGAATCAAAGTGACGGTTCACTTGTTAGAAGACGCGTCTCCTGTGGGCTGCAGCTGTAGGTGTAGCAGGATATTTAATGTCTTTACCTGCATTCCTGCGGAATCTTCCAGTGTGAGAAGTGACAACTCTGGTTTTGGGGTCATAGAAACCGTCGCCACAATCGTAGCACCCATCAGGAATGACGCGTGGGGGATGCAGATCAGTTAGCTGAGATTCTCCTGTAGGAACAAAACAGTTGTTTCGTATTAAACAGCAATCCTACGTTGGTTTGAAACTACTAACACAAGCTCTTCGTTAATAATAATAATAATAACGTGTTTCACCTATTGTTTAGAATAGAATAGAAGTACTTTATTGATCCCCGAGGGGAAATTCAGGATCCAGGTAGCTCCTGACAATATACAAACATAATATACACATGCAGTTAAACTATTAAACAGGGTTTATCAAAGAAAAAATAAAGTTAAAACACACATGTTTCCCGCATGTTAAAGTGCCACATGATTTGCTCATACATGTAAAGGGGGGAGAAGTTTATGTATTTGTCAAGCCAGTGATGGACATGGATCATCACTCATTGAGCAGTAAAGTTAAGAAGTCTGGTTAGATTCTGCAAGCATTTGGAGCAGGTTGGATTATTAGCATACGTATTACCGACGCACTAACACTCTATGACTTCCTTTTAGATGACTCGGGTACTTTCTGGGGTTCCCGTTCAATGAGAAAGCAGTTTTTGTGTTTTTGTGGTTGAAACCCAATGTTGAACCCAGGTGAGATTTCGCCGCGCGATGGGTATTCCCCAAACTGGGGTCCCAAAATGACACGCAGGCCTCTCTTTGTTTCAACCACACGGGGAAGTCCTTACACTTCTAAAGCCTCCAACCTGGACTGAAATAAAAGCAAAGTTTCACTCAAAAAGATGTCGAACTAGCTTTGTTTTTTCTGTTTTTTTTTAAGACACATGGTCGGAACAGCAATACAGAGAAGTGAATCAATGAACACATGCGGTTTTTTAATGTTTTTAAAAAAGAAGCTTATTTATGTAGGGTATCTGAGAGTAGGAAGCCCCAGTCATCTGATCAAATGAGCGATTACACAAACAAATAAATGAATTTCAACCTGCAGGTCTGAGTCCGTTGCACCTCTCACTGTAGAAGCGCCTGTCGTATCCGTCACAGTAGTCCCAGTCCTTCTCCTGGTACTGCAGACCATCGGCGAAGGTGAATGACCCCTTTCAAGGAAACACAACGGGGAAGTCATCCTTATTCTTTCGTTTATCGGGTCAGATAACCACATTAAAAAAAGAAAACACAAAATAGAATTCTAAATGTCACTACCTGGAAGGGAAAGGTGCGTGTTCAGATTGATCATAAACTACCAGATATAATTTCAAGTCTGTTTAGCTCTGTTTTTTGAGCCGGCATGAATGCAGGTGCAGGATAGTCCTGATCATGTTTAGTCATGGTTCAGAACTGCTATTGATTTCAAATGAGCCGCAAGTGAAATCCTGACAATAATTGGAGTGATCGCTGTTGTGGCAAAAGCCCACGAAAGATTGCATCAGTTCAACTGAGGTGGAAGTAAAAAAACAGGAGAGAAACCTAATAACTTGCACAAATATGGTGAGTGATTGCTAAAAGGGACCAGATGTAATATAATCTATAACCAATGTGAAACACACTGCATGGGTGTGGATGCATATATTCTAGCATGCATGCAGGGACACACACACACACACACGCACATGCATTCACCTGTTTAGCTTTGCCGTTTTCCCAGGTGGCCTCATATTTACTTCCATTAGAAAAGTGTAATACTCCTTTGCCGTGGAACATCCCATCTTTCACCTCTCCCTCATACTTGGTCGTTGTGGGAAACGTGTACTCTCCTTTTCCATCCATCCTGAGGTATAGAGGAGGAGGTCATCTCGTGCTAATTACAGTCATATTAAAGATTCACCGAAACATTCATTTGGTTGTGCGTATTTACCTGCCATTTTTTGTACCTCCATTATAACTGCTTCCGATGAACTCCATTACTACATTTACTTGACAACACGCTGCCCACTTAAGATAAACAAAGTACGAAAACCTTACAATGATTGTCTGGTTACCATGGTAACGTGGCAACAGAGCAGTAACGCCAGGCTACGTCATAAACTGATCCGGGTGAAGAGTAATTAATCGTTTACCAAAGTTTATAAATTCAACCGTTTCATTTTAAATAAAAAGAATAAACACAACCGACAAACTTTCACAGCTCCTTAATTCACCGATGTAAATGCGCGTGCACACGCGCCTCCTGCGTGGTCCGCGCTGTCGATCGCGTCATCAGAACGCGCCTCTTAGCCGATAGCGGCTCTACACCAAACTGACCTTCCTCTCGCGGCCTCGTCGCTCGTCCTGGAGACAGCCGAGGACCTTGGAGGTTTTGCATTTGATCTGCTGCGTTGGTTTCGTCATACGTACACGCAGCCATGTCCACGCTGGACGTCCCCCAGCTGCAGGAGCTGAAGGTGGATGAGGTGAGCAGCGGTTATTCTTTTTATAAGCTTGACTCGAAAACACAGCAAGGTGGAACATGCTAGCTAACTAGCAGCTTGCTAACGCTAGCTGCTGTATGTTTCAAAACATGCTAAGTAGTTCAGAACCTTTGCCACTGTTACCTGCATTTGTAATGCTAAGCGGTAGTCAATTAATCTTATTCATCCACCAGCATTTATTCCCGAATCCCACGTTAACTGGTGAATGTTACGAGATGTACCGTGACAACATTTACCCCAGTAGACTTTTTGCACTTCTTTAAAGTCCGCTCTACCTCTTGAATTCGGTATCTTGATAGTCATTTTACAGCGTCTGCCCTAAACTAATCTGGCCGGGTTGTGTCATGTTTAACACATTGATCTCGTCCTTGGAAGTCAGGTTTCAGCTGGCAGCACCTTGTTGTGTTTTTCCAGAAATAAAACGGATACGTCATGATATAATAAACAAAAACTATTTCTTTTAAATTTAAAAATACATTGTAATATTTGATGTCTATACTTCGACATTCGCAACCATATGCTATTGTGCTAAAGAATGTTTGAAGTGGTGTAGTATTGCCAAGGACATTAGACAGTGTTTCACCTGTTCCTCATAAAGATAATAAGCAGTAATGGAATATATATATATTGTCTACACACATTCTCAATGTTGATTATGGTGTGTTAGACTGGACTGGCTAAAAGTACAGTCTGGCTTTTTTTAAAAGTATTTCCTTATCTGTCCCTAAATTAGTATTAGTAGGCCAACACAATACTTGCCCCTGGCATCACTCCTTTACTTATTAGATCATTCAAAGACATGCAGGACAGAATAGTACAGCGTTGTCCGCCAAGAAATAACCTGGTCTGTTTTTCATTGTTTTCTAAATAGACAAGTGAAATCGACAAATGGGCCAAAGCAGGCTTTCAGCAACCTTGTTTCAAGGTGTATTCTCTACTGTTTTAGCTCGCCGAGCAGTTTAGCCATTCCCAGTTAAACTGCACATGAACTGATTTGTGTCTCTGAACTGGAAGAACATCGATCTCCCAAAATTCAAACCAAGCACATTGTTTAAATTATGCTCTCCGGAAAAAATCTCGAAGTTACATGGTGTATCTAAATCAGCGTGGTTACATGGATTCGAATAACTGGCTTAGTCGGACTGAAATCGAATTATCCGTTTTATGTAAACACCTTTGTCCGACTATGTGCGGCCCGACTACGATCCGACTAACACCCCTGGATAACTCGATCCGATCCAGTTGATAGTTCGACTATTGCGGCATGTAACGGTGAATCGGATAAGAACCTGGACTTTGCGTCTTTGCGCATGCTTGAGATCCCGACGGCGTCTTCTCTCCGTTATCAAATCAGCCAATAGCGCCATTCGCATTCGCTGTGCTCCTATTAACATCATGCACAAATAGTAGAGGGATGTAGCTTCACCTTGCTCTCCGTTCGCCATCTTTCTCCTAATGTTGTTGTTGTTGGTAGTGGTGAGGAGGTCAAGCGGAAATGGCTGTATCATGACTAGTTGTAATGAAAACAGCGCCACCTATCGTATCGGATATGACGATATGCTTTCGGCCAATGATTCGATTTATTCACTGCCATGTATATTGGGATAATAGCACTTGCCCCGAAAGATAGCATAGTCCGACCAAGCAAAGATTCAAATTATACCATCATGCAAACACACTGACGTAACTTTACTTTACTTTATTTTATTACTTGTGCACTGCTGTCTTGTCTGTCTACTGTCGCGCACTAACCGCCAAGACAAATTCCTTGTATGTTTGGCATATTTTGGTAATAAATGTTTCCTGATTCCTGACTGTTTCCGTCCAGATCAATGTGTCTTCTGCAGTGCTGAAGGCTGCTGCCCACCATTATGGCTCCCAGTGTGACAAGGCCAACAAGGAGTTCATGCTCTGCCGCTGGGAGGAGAAGGACCCGAGGAAGTGTCTGGAAGAAGGGAGGAAAGTCAACGAGTGTGCACTCAACTTCTTCAGGTAACTCTCAGCCTTGATGCCAAATACTCTTGGTGTGTGTGTGTATATGGAATATGTATGTCATGGTGTGTGTGATTCAGTACTGAAGACTTAATGAACCAGAAATGAAGGTTCATTTATATGTATCAGAAAATATACATATTCAGAGATGAACTCTGCCACAGTGGTATCGTCTGCAAAAGAAAAAATCAGCGAATGGTTGAAGACGTGGCTGAACTTTGCCGCCAGCTAGAGGTTGTAGAGTTCATTTGAAACCTTGGTCAAAAAAGGTTGACAGCAAATAATATGAATTATTTTCCTCTTTAATGGACACGTGGGTATAAAATGAGCCTTGAGGTTGCAAATCCTGCTGTTGGACAGCGGTTCTTCTGATTGTTAGTTATTAAGTTTACAGTTTCCCGGCCTAAAAACTCTCCTGCTCATAAGCTTTCCATTCCGTTGGCGGAAGTGGGATGTCGATCCAGTAGGCCAACTGTAGATCTCAATCTAACGCCGCCTAAGGATCGCAAAGAGAAAGTTGATGAAAATGAAGTATCAGTGACTGCGTCATCTGGGATGCAGAGAAGAGACCAGGTTTTACAGCAGAGGGAAAAGGGACGTGTAAGATAACTTGTTAATTTGGGTACAAGATTCATTCTGTTTGAACTACGTGCACTGAACCGGAGGTGTTAAATATTTGGATCTATATGTTAAGATTTTCTCGTTTTTAATAAATTCGAGGTGCCATGTCGTGTATGGGGTCATTAATGGTCCAGTGTGTATCTTAATGAAAGAAAAGATTATTGATTTAATTAACAAACGTCTAAATAAAAAAAGAATTCTCCACAATAGCCCCAAAATGAAATTAAGGGCCTTTTTCAAACATGAATAAACATGGGATATTGCCATATTTTCAAAAGAAATTCCTTCAAGCTTTGCAATCAATATATCTTATTTTATTTTCATCTTTTACCTGCATTTTTTTTTTTGTCAGTTTAAAGTATGTCTCTAAATTCTCTTATTAACTATAATACTAAAATGAAAGCAACAACACTCAATTTCTCTCTTTTTTCCCCCTTAAAACAATGATCTGAAGAAGAAATGACTTGTTCATTTTAAAACATAAACGAGTTAATTACAGAGTTTATTGTTTCTATAAAATTGCCCGTGGGGGCTATTTGGGGAAGTGGTCTGGGGTTCCTCACTGCGGCGTCTGTGTTTACTGAAGGTTTTTGGACTGTGCTTGGCTTATATCCTGATCTGATGCCCGTACACAAACTAAGATGCGTGTGTGTGTAAAACAGACCGTTTCTGGTCTTAAAAACAACACATGACCTCTAATTTTAAAGCCGAAAACAAACAACCGACACTCTGACCCCAAAGATAAACTGAGCGTTACGGTGAACCAGCAATGCCTATAATTAATGTAATGAGGAAAGATTTGAGAAAAGCTGTAATTGCGCCCAGGACCTGGTTTGATTCTATGGTGCTTCTGGCAACTGCCAGACACCTTTTAGAAGAACTTCATCCACACAATCAGCCCAGAAAGTTCTCGTCATTGAGACCTCAGAAATCTTTTCTCTTAAACCACGAGGGGTCCTTGAAAGTAACCCGTGACATGGATGCAGTGCAAACTTTGAATCTATCTATTCATGTATTTCAAATATCAGGTTTCCTCTTTTCAGACGTATTAATTTGAATCAACTTTGTTGAGGGGACAATTTCCAGAGTTTTCAAGACTACTACACTTTCACCCATGCATCCTTTTTTTTTTGTGCTCCGTCCCTTGTAGGCAAATCAAGGGCAGCTGTGCCGAGCCCTTCACAGAGTACTGGACCTGTCTGGATTATTCAAACCTGGCGGAGCTGCGCCGGTGCCGGCAGCAGCAGCAAGCCTTTGACAGCTGCGTCCTGGATAAGCTGGGGTGGCAGAGACCCGAGCTGGGAGAGCTGTCTAAGGTGAGCCTTATGAGTGATTGACTGCATTCACAATGCTCTCTTCTGGCTGATTATGGGCTGCGCAAGAGGCTCTGATTGCATCTGCGTCGTGGTCTCATTCAGTAGTAGTTCTGAGCAGACAAATGCATTTTGTGTTGCTTTTTTTGTGTGTGCTTCTTTTCATTTAATTGCCATTTTTAAAGGGGCTTTCATAACCATGCTGGCAAGCACTAATTAGGTAGCAGGAGTGAAAACACGGCCGACAACTATTTCAAACATTATAGTCTTCGAAAATCCGTATGGGCAGAACTAGGGAGGCTGTGAATGGCTGTAATCAACTCTCTCTCGCCAGACAGAGCTGTTGTTCATGCTATGAAATCACAAGAGCAGGGAAACAAAAGAAGAAACATCTGACTTGAAATGTCTCTCTACTATCCACCCGAATACAAGACTTGTTTGAGATGATGGGAGGAGTCAAACGAATTTGGAACTCATTCCGATTGAGAGTCGTCCACTCGTGGAGAAAGAAGGTCATGGAACAGGAAGAGACCTGACCGAGAAGTCGCACACAAAGAGCAAAGTAGGGTTAGAAAAAGCAGGCGAGAGGATGTAAATCATGATTTAAGGGGAGAGCAGAGGGGAGAGTTAATGTAGGAAAAAAACAGGTTTATTGATCAGATCATTATTGTTTTTTTTAAACCTAGCTAATAGGAAAAGTTTGATTGCTCTTTCTTTGATTTTACTGAACTGATATTCAGTAAAAAATTATCAGTAGATTGCTGTGCTAAGTCCTCGTTAAAAAGTTTCATCAAATTTAATTTCCAAC